TTTCTCAGCTGCTATGAATTCCCGCTGTTTACTTCTCTCACTTGAGTGGTAGTGCAAAGATTACAACAGTCTAGGTTTTATTTGTATCTATTACCCAAACCATTACACTGTCTCTAATTTCATCATTGTCTTGGAGGAGCAGTGCATAAAGAGCTGATGGGGAAAAGTCCCTCCAGCCGCTCAGCGCTCTCTACCCCAGGATTAAGAGCATCCCATCCAGTAGTGTGTGAAGTCCCGTCTTCGTAAACTCTCCCAGACCAAATGTTGTTGGAGTGGACTCATCCGTATTATCTGTCCTGTAAGTGGAAGGACACCCAGCTGCCAGCAGCTGCTTTTAAAAGGTCACTATGAGTACTACATAGCACAGTATTAATTTATAGGAGGAATCATATCTTGTAAAATGTATATAAAACACTTTTATGGTGCAATCATTTGTCAAATTTTTGTCTGTTACATTGTTCTTAGAGTGTACGTTCTTCTCATGCCTAAGAATATCACTGTAAAATCTGCTGAAAACTATTTTTAGGTTTTATTTGCACAAGACTGAATTAGTTTGAGTTTTGGGGAAGCTCCTATTGAACAAGCCTAAACATCTGTAATGATAAAAATCTTCAATTCATTAAAAGCCAATATTTCAGTACAATGCTTTCCAAAGGTAACCCATGTTCTGTGTTGTTGGTGTGTGGGTGTGATGTTTCTGACTCTCCCATCTCTCACAAACCTGTGTTCTGTTCCATCTGTTTTGTTTTTGAAGGATGCCTTTTTTTTTTTTCCCTTTGCAATGTTCTAGATGACCAAAACACATTGGTTTTTACCCTTTTACCTAAAGCTTTGATTTCTCTGTGTGGTGTTCTGTGAGTTCACTGTTTAATCTCTTCAGTGAAGTAGCATATAGTCCTGGTGACAGGCAATCTATTGATTTAGAGGAGAGGTCCTGAACAAAGTGTGGAAAACTAACTTTGGATCTATTCTTAGCTATGAGTTTGCATCATGGGCTTCGTTAGAAGAACATGTTGCATTTAATTTTGTCTTTATTAAAAGACTACTAGTCACCAGTTACTCTGGTTATAGTAACTGCTATATCAACCCACTTTGATCTTCTTTTAAAATTAAATTTTCACTCACAAGTCAAAACAGTAAGCTGTCTTTCAGAAAATTTTTGAAGGATAAAATTATATGAAGGAAAAAGATGGTCTGTGTAGAATTACCTACACGGAGATTTTAGTTATATTGCCTTGAGAGGTTTTAGTTTGTGGTCAAGGTCTGTATATTATCCCAACTTTATTAAGAATTGTTTTCTAATTGGTTATAACATTTTTCAATTAATAGTTTCAAAACAAATTGTTAATACGACTGTATAAAGTGAACATAATTTTCTTCACTTGTATTTTTGTTATTGAGCAAGTTTATCAAAATAAATTGTCTACTAAAGAAACTAAAAAGGCTTCTATTACTTTTAATAAGCTTTGATTTTAAATGTTTATTTCTAGGGATGTAGCTCTCCCAGACCATGAGTCAATCCCCAGCACTGAATAAATCAGGTATTGTGGTACTTGCCTATAATTCTAGTGCTCAGGAAGTAGAGCCAGGAGGACCACAAGTTCAAGGTCCTCCTTAACTACATGGGAAGTTTGAGGCCAGCCTGTCTCAACACAAGCAAAGCAGTCTTTCACACAAAGACCTTGCCTCTTGGTTGGTCTTGTTGTTAGCATTGTATGTGAGGGAATCCCTCTCTTCCATTTCACTCTTAGCTCACCTTTAGTCAACAGTAGTTGTGATTTGAATGAGAATGTCCCCATAGCCTCGGATGTTGTTGGAATGCTTAGTCCCCAGTTGGTAGCTGTTTGGGAAGTTAAAGAAGAGGTGTGGCCTCATGGAGGAAGTTTGTCGCTGGGAGGTGGGCTTGGAGATTTCAAAGCCGCAGTTGAGGTGAGCTTTCAGCTCCTGCAGCTGCCATGCCTGCTGCTTACTGCCCCGCTTGCCCGCCAGGAGTGACTCTTACCCCTCGGAAACCGTAAGCCAAACAAACCCTTCCTCTACAAGTTGCTTTAGTCATTATGTTTTATCAGAGCAACAGAAAAATAACAGTGCAGTTATTAGTACTCCGAGACATTGGCCAGTTTTCTCCTAAAATACATAATGTGCCCCTTTCTGTGGCTCTTCTTCACATTGCTTAAATATTTAGTATTAGTTGTATAAGACTGATTTGTCGGCCCATTAAAGCAACTCTCTCCTCTTATATTGCCTTGGGTTTTTTTTTGTTGTTGTTTGTTTGTTGTTTGTTATTGTTGTTGAAATGCAGTTGAACAACCAAAGATCTTTGGGGTCATCCATACTTGTCCTGGGGTAAAAGTTACTCTGCACATCTAAAGGTTTGATCTGCTCACCTCCTACATACTTGACTCACCAACGTGGTTAGTGACTAGCAAGATGGACTCACTGGTGGAAGGCCACCTTAGGCTGGCCGTGCTAACACCACTGCTGGGCCATCAGCAGCCTCTGTTCCAAGTGCCGTTATAAGGGCAATTTTCACAAGTCTAAGCTGACATAAAAGGATTTTCCTTTTAACAACTGTGTGTGTGTGTGTGTGTGTGTGTGTGTGTGTGTGTGTGTGTGTGTGTGTAACAAAACAGCTCAAAGGGCTGGAGAGATGGCTCAGTGGTTAAGAGCACTGACTGCTTTTGCAGGGGACCTTGTGGTCCACAGCACCCACATCAGGCAGCTCATAATCACCTATAACTTCAGCTCCAAATCCGATGCCCTCTCCTGGCTCTCATGGGCACTGTGCATGCTACACATGCACACTCACAGGCACACACATTTACATAAATAATACTTTTCTTTAAAGGCCAGGAGTATTGAACATGATAAGTGTCCACTCTTAACCTACCTTCCTGAGAACCATTGTCAATAGCTTATTGGGTATTTTTTTTTCTTTTAAAATGTTTATTTTTAAATAGTTATTCTCAGATCGTTTCTTACATAGACACAGTATATATTGATCCTACCCACTCCTAATTCCTCCCACTCTCCCAGAGCCCTACTGTGTGCCCCTCCCACAATTTTTTCTTCTAGCCCATCAAGTCCAGTCACTGCTGCCTGGGTCACAGGGGCAACCCACCAGCAGCCACACCCCTGATGAAAACTGCTGCCCATCCCCCACAGCCATCAGTTGCCAGTAACTCCTCAACTAGGATCAAGGGATTTTCTTTTCACAGGTACATTCCCTGTTGTAAAAGTAGAGCCTCGTGATGTATTGGGTATTCCAACAGGCATTTTACAGGTGTCTAGCTTGACAACAGGTGATTTGTTTTTGTTTGTGGGGTTTTTTTTGTTGTTGGTTTGGGGTTTTTTTTGGGGGGGGGGTTGTTGTTTTGGTTTTTTGAGACAGGGTTTCTCTGTGTAGCTCTCTGGCTGTCCTCCAACTGAGCCTCCAAAATACGGGGATTAAAGACGTTACTCCCAGATAAGAGGTAATATTTCACACAAACGCACACATATGCCATGACTTTTCTAGGTGACATTCCATCTTATAAATAATAACTGTGTGCATACGTCATTTCCGTATATAGGTGATTTCTCCATTGACTGATTTGGTGAAGTTTTTGTTGTTGTTGTTGTGGGGGGTGGTTAGAGGCTCTTTGATTAATTTTTTTGCTCTTTAAAGAATGCTGCTATAAATTCCAATTACAAAACAATTTACCAAATATCAGTATAACTTTACAGTCTCTGGTCTGTTAAGCAGTTCATATTTTGCAGAGTGCTGGGGTTGAATAATGGCACCTGGTATGTTTAGGGAAAGAAAGTTAACATTAACCATGTAGTCTGTGCTTTTCCATGTCCTCTTTACCCCCTTCCTGTGCAATAAGAGGAGGGGTTCTTAGGCTGGAAAGTGGGGGGTCAGAACAGTGGAAGTTGTCCAGGCTCTCTAAGTGGTAATTGGTATAAATCTGGGTTTCAGATCCACGGTCCCTGACTTTGGATTTGGGACTCCTGCTGTCTCACATTGCCAGTTTGGCTAGTCCAAAGGAAATAAAAATAGCTTGTCCCAGTTGCATGATTCCTGGGCTCTAGCCCTGGAAGCTAAATCTATGGTTTGTTTCTAGATGCAGAATGCAGAGACCCACAAAAGCTGGCCCCTGTTTAAAAGCAGTTCCCTCCCTACTAAGAGCACCTGGTGAATATTGTCTACTTTGTTCCAACACGAAAATGGAAGAAATGCTCAAATTGTCTTTAGTATCTCAGTAGTTCTTTCTTGTCAAGGCTCCTCTTTGCAGTCATTATTCAGTGGTATTGTACAGTGCTGACACCCCTAATTGGTGAAACTAAATAAGACTACCCATTGGTTTCTAGGGCTTTTTCAGGATTTGAACCCCCAGGAAAATATCTCCAAACAGGTTGTTCCCCATTCTCCTTCAAAGGCACTTAAAAATTAACCACACTTCTTCCCTAGAGGTAGGAAGTGTATTAGTTTCTCAGTTAAACAAATCATGCATACATGATTGGATCTCTGAACTGTTTGTCATCTGTCCACACATCACTGATGAAACCTCAGTTGTCCCATGCCAGTGGCTTTCTTGTGCCAAGCCTCTGTCCCTGGTACACCGAGGACTCATCTCTTAGGTCTTACCATCTCACCAAGGTGTTGCTACGAAGCGTGGAGCAGGCCTCGCCCCCTTCCAATTTTCATATTCTGTTTCCTGGTGTCTGTCTCCTGGAGAATTTCATCTGCCTGTTGGCTTCCCTGAGAGACATTTGAGCCTCTCACTCACAGTTAAAAGGCAAAGAACAAAGAGGGAAGAGTTGGCTCTAGTTAAGAGCACAGTGTGCAACCGTGAGGACCCAAGCCCAGTTCTCAGTCCCCCCAAAACAAGCCAAGTGTGCTGCCGTGCATGCCTATAAACCCTAGCGCTGTGAGGGCCGGACAGGAGGACTGCTAGGCCTTGTTGGCTGCCAGCCTGGCCAAAAACATGAGGTTTGGGTTCAAGAACAGGCCTTACCTTAAAGGAAGAAAGTGGAGAATGATAAAGGAAGACACGACACCCTTGTCTGGCCTCTGTGCATCCATGTGTGCATGTGGCAACCACACTCAAGGAAAAACCAAAATTTTTGGAAAACTGTCTTTCATCAGACCATGTGACTTCATGGCTGATCGCTCCTGGCTGCAGAGCTGGACCACAGTCACTTCAACAGTACAGTCAGTCATGATTGGCTCAGGAAGCATGATGGCATGTGACCAAGGAGCCAAGCTTAGGACTTAGCTGGAGCTCCTGGGAAGAAAGCTCTTCCACTATTGATAAGTTGCTGAGGGAGAAATTGGTGCCACTGTGTCCAGATCGTCCAGCCACACCTGAGGATCCTGCCAGAGAATTGAGCCATCACAAAAGAAGGGGTGAGAATTGAGCCATCACAAAAGAAGGGGAGCTGAGCCACAAAGATAGTTTTGTTACCATCATAGTAGCCAAAGCCAAAACTGTCTGAACTGTGTGTGTTACTTACACAAATAAGTCTCATCACCACCACCTCCCTTAGCCAGTTTGAGTTAGTTTCTGTCCCCTAAAAGGATCTTGATATACTTACTCCCACCTTCCTCTTGACGTTAAAAACATTCTTTACCTCCCCTGCTTTGGCATGTCACTCTTGGTCGGCTCTGGCTTTTAAAAAAGCAACTGATGGCTGGAGGGATGGCTCAGTCAGCAGTTAAGAACACTGGCTGCTCTTCCAGAGGTCCTGAGTTCAATTGCCAGCACCCACATGGTGGCTCACAACCGTCTATAATGGGATCTGATGCCCTCTTCTGGCATGTAGATGTATGTGCAAATGGAACACTCATGCATAAAAAATACACAAATAAAAATTTTAAAAGCAACTGACTTCATGCTTCTGCTTAACCCCACAAAAAGCATCAGTTCTTCTGTCTGAAGTAAAGGAAATACAAGTTAATCTCTCAAAAATATATCCTGCCATCGCGTGGGGATAATGTTACCTTAAGAGAAAGACCAGAGATGGGTGAATGGACCCTGACCAGCTCCCAAGAACTAATGGTAAGAAAACAGATACACCTACTCAGGCAGTGGTATGTGGCTTTAATCCCAGAACTCGGGAGGCAGAGGCAGGTGGATCTCTGAGTTTGAGGCCAGTGAGGGCTACACAGAGAAAAACACTATCTCAGAAAAAAAAAAGAAAGTAAGAAAACAGACACCCCTGTTGAGCTTTGAGAGCTTTTGAGAGCCACACTCTAAGGAGAACTTCCTGCTGGCTGTGGTGACAGCCTGCGGTCCCAGCAGGTGGGAGGCCAAGGCAAGAATGACCGATGTTATTAACGGCTGTGCATCAAGTGCCTGTCTCACTGTATACACCGCCTTGGCCTCCCACTAGGATTCTCCCCAAGATGGGTACAGGGGCCGTCTGACCTCTTCACACCATAGCCCGCTGGGTGCTCCCGGCCCTGTGATTCCCCAGTTTCTGACCTGCCCCTCAGCTGCCTTGTTGGTGTCTACAGAGTGCTACACGCCCTTTGCAAGGCGGAGAACCTGACAGTCAACAGTTTCTGTTTGGGAAGTTTGCTTGTTGCTGACCTGGCCTGGAGTGAACACCTGAAAGACAAGTCCCCAAGTAGCAGAAGATCCAGCTTCTGAAGGGAAGGGTTCCAGAAATGAAAAGTGACTAGAGACTGACTTGGGATCAAAAGAACTTAGCCACTGACTAGCTGATGGTCACTGGGTGGATCCCCTCATCTCTGTAGGATTCAGAGGAGTCTGAAACCATGTGCTAAGCGCTGGTTACATCACAATCACTTGAGGCCCTTGTTAAAGGGTCCTGTTGCCACACTGTAGCACAGTTCTGGGCCACTCTCCTAAATGAGACCGGACAACCCAGGTGATTCCTGAGTCCCTGGGTTTAGGAACTGCTGGAGTGAATAACTCAAGAGAACCTTGCCCAGGAGTCACTGACCTGACTGCGGGTGGGGCTGGGCCTGGTGTGGGCGGAGGCTGCCCAATCTCTCGGGGCTAGTTCCCAGTTCCCTGGGGAACTGACGAGGAAAGCCCTAGGGACTCCATGTGTCTTTCCTCCATTCCTGCCACAAGAAGGCAGCAGGGCTCTACTGGCCTAAACCATAGACTGGGCTGACCCTGAGGTTCCAAAAGTAGAAAAGCAGGTCACGTCCTGCCTTTATAGGGGAAGAAATGCAGGTTAACCTGCGGAGAGGCTTAAGGCAACAGAGGAGCCCCTTCTTCCCTGGGGTGAGCAAGCTCTTTGCCTTTCCTGGCCCCAAGCTGCTGTGGTGCAGCCTGTTACCTTGGAGACCAGCTAACACTTATCTCACAGGCAAGTGGCACTGTAGAGTTGTTTGGAGGAGCGTGGAGCCAGGAGAAGTAGGAGCCAGGAGAAGAGGCGTCCTGCTGTGCCTTCTCCCAAAGATGAAGCTATAAATGAAGAAATGCAGATGGAGGTGAGTGTCACAAGGGTTGGCAAGAGGGAAGAGAGAGTGGTTATGCATTGGCCAAACGGGAAAGATTGGTGTGCCAGGTGCTGGAGCTCTGGCAGATACCAAGGCCGCTCGCTATAGGACAGTGCAGAGAAAGCAGGACTTCCCGAGTTTCCACTGCGGTACCAAATAGGATCCTGGGGTTTCTTGGCAGAGGGAGTAAAGGATGTTTACAGAAGCAAGCATGGTTTAAGGGCGATATGAAATAATAAAGTGTGTGAGCAGGGGTTGCCAGGGAGCAGGGTGTGCGTGTGTGTGTGGGGGGGGGGGGAGGTGAAGAAGCAAGGAATGGTTGCCGAAGGAAAGGTAAGCCTTGGGTTGCAGCACCAGGGCACTTGGCAGGGTTCCGTGCAGAGCAAGGGGAACATGCACATAGCTCACCCTGCTATTGTGGATTGCACAGGAACACTAGGAGTAACTACAGTTAAAAAAAAAAAAAAATCCTGGGTGCTGGAGAGATGGCTCAGCAGGTAAGAGCACTGGCTGCTCTTCCAAAGGACCAGGTTCTGTTCCCAGCACCCACAAGGCAGCTCACAACTCTCTAACCCTAGTTCCAAGGGATCCATTGCCCTCTTCTGACCTCCTTCAGGACCAGGCACCCACATACATGGCAGGCAAAATGCTCAAACCAATCAAATCTTTTTTAAAATTAAATCATATGAGCCAGGTGATAGTGGCACACACCTGTAATCCCAGCACTCAGGAGGCAAAGGCAGGTGGATCTCTGAGTTCGAGGCCAGTCTGGTCTACAAAGTGAGTTCCAGAACAGCCAGAGCTATTATACAGAATAACGCTGTCTTGAAAAAAAATTAAATCATACATGTAAAATAAAAGTAAACATTTAAATCTACAACAACAGCAAAACAAGCTCAGCCAATGCCATGGCTCAGCAAATAAAGACGCTCGCCACCAACCTGACAACCTCAGTTTGATTCCTGGGACCCGCATGGTGGAAGGAAAGAACTCAAAGTTGTCCTTTGACCATAGATACATTGTGGCATGTTTGTGCAGGCACACACACACACTGTACACACACACACTAAATAAGTACATAGATAAGTGTAAAAATGTAAGCCCTCCAGATGGCCGTTCATGAATAGATATTTGGGAGCATCCTGGATTCAGCTGTTAAGCAACTGTGAAGTTAGCTGAAGGCTTTCTTTTTACAGTAGCAATGTGCTTTGACCAAAATGCTCATCTGCCCAAGGGATCGGTTCAAACATTCTCTGGTCCACCAGTCACCTAGGGCAGTCATCCCCAATGCACTCCTGCTGAATGCCATACCTGCATTGATAGAGGACAATCACAGTGATTGAAAAATGAATGCTGAGACTGATGGGGACCCTCAGACAATAGCCCACACTGGAAGGGGAAGGGGTCGATGCAGACTGGAAAGATCCAGGTCACCCACAGAGAAAAGAACAGGACTTTCATCAGGCTGTCAAGAGCAGTCCTAGATCCTCATGAGTTGGATAGCATTTTTTTTTCCCAAGACAGGGTCTCACTATGTAGCTCTGGCTGTCTTGGAACTCACTATATAAACCAGGCTAGCCTCTAATTCACAGATACTTGCCTGCCTCTGCCCCCCAATTGCTGGGATTAAAGGCATGTGCCCATAAACCCAACGAGGATAGCATTTTTTAAAAAGCTTTTTCCTCATGGTTTGAAGATATTTTCTCATAAAAAGTACACTTCAGTGGTCAGTTTGTCCTTGGGGACACCCTGGCATTCTCCTGTATGTGGTGGGTATCTCCTTGGATAAGATTTAGGGCCAAGGGACAGCACATTACATGCATTGACACCAAGGGAGCCGAGGAGCCCAGAGGGTAGCAGACTCTGGATTAAGGGGAAGAAATCCCCTCGCCGCCGCACCCCCCCCCCGCCCCCGACTCCTTATTAATGTGCTACCCTGTTCATTAATTAATTCAGTGAGTCTTGTGGAGCAGCTGCACTCTGGGCGTTGTTTTGTACACAACAGTCCAGTGTTGAGCGTTTCAAAGTCCCTGCCCTCAAGTGTCTTCAGGGAGAGAAAAGGAGCAGACAGTAAACACGGAGGAGGTGACAGTGAAACACGCTACAGAGAACGGTGCCGCCGTGCAGAGGTGTGCAGCTCGGGTTCGGGGCAGCTTGCCTTTGTACCCAGGCCTGAAGGGAAGGCAGTGTCTCCTTCACCCGTCACTCCCAGGGCCAGCACTCTCTGGCCCCTAAAAGGCAGGAAAGTACAAGGGGTAGATAACGGCTTCCAGTCCCACCCAGCAGCTGTGCTGATTGGCTTTTGCCAGCCTGTCGCAAACTCCGTTTACCTGGGGAAAGGAGACCCCACTGAGAAAGTGTCCAATCAGATGAGCCTGTGGGACACTTTCTTCCTTAATGGTTGATGTGAGGGAGCCCAGCCCACTGTGGGTGGTGCCACCTCCGGGCAGGTAGTCCTGGATTGGATAAGGAAGCAGCTGAACAAGAAGCCATGGAGAGCAAGCCGGTTAGGAGTGTTCGTTCCTTCGTGGTCCCTGCTTCAGGTCCTGCCTCTGGCTTCCTGCCTTGGCATCCCTGGATGACGGACTGTAACCTATAAACAAACAAAGCTAAAACGAACCCTCCTCCTTCCCTAAGTTGGTTTGGTCAGAGTTTTGTTTATTCATTTGTATGGAAAAATGAAAAAAAAATATTTCCCTTTTATTACACGCGGATTCCTTTCTCATACAAGACAATCTGAATACAGTTTCCCCTCCAGTTCCTCCCGGTCCGTGGTTTTTCACAGCACAAAGGGGCACACTAGGACAGTAGTACTCTGCGTTGCTCTCCTACTTGGCATTTGGCCGTGCATTTTCACAATGTCTCCTCTCTCTCTCTCTCTCTCTCTCTCTCTCTCTCTCTCTCTCTCTCTCTCTCTCTCTGCTTTTGACAGTGGAGTTAGTAGGCAGGGTGGTGAGTACAATTCCCACCCTGTTCTCAACTGAAAAACCAAAAGTTTACGGCTCTTCCTAACACACTGCGTCGTGAGCTTTATGTGGTCAGCTCCCCTCCATTTGCCCACACAAGTCACCCAGAATCCAGCGGTTTAGGCTAGTAATTCACTGGAAACTGTTAACACTCCCCAAGGAGAAGGGACCACAACACTGGGGGTTGCAGGTGTTGGGGTTCCAGTGTTCTGAGACAATTTCAAAGCCCATGCCATAGGAATGGTCTCCAAGGAAATGTCGCTGAGGAGAAGCCACTTTGGGGCTTTCAGGGTCCTTCCCCGTAAACAAGCAACCTCCAAGTAAAATTTAAAGACTCGAAAGGAACTAACGACTGCCCACTGTCATAAACTAGGGAGCGCCGAGTTCACGGTGAAGCGGCAGCCCTGTCCAGCCTCTCACAGCGGGTCTCACAGTTTGGGAGGGCGGGAGGGAGGGCGGGCTGCAAGGGACAGAAATGTTAATGAGCCCGCGTGCTTACACTGGGACTGGTTGGAAAGAAAGGGATTGGTCGGGGAGGGAAACTCTGCTCCACAGTTTCAATGAGTGGTGTATCTCACAGAATCTAAAAGTGGAAAACTACGAGTGCTTCAGATAAATAGAAATCAAAAAAGCAAGACTCCCCTGTCCCTTCTCTCCTCAAAATGTCTGTTTTCCCTGGAGATGGTGCCACACACCTGTAACCCCAGCCCTCAGAAGGCCGAGGCAGGAAAAATTGCACTTTCAAGGCTCTATGACTTGTCACATGACTCCTATCTCCAAAACAGCAAACACAATTCTTGTCTCTCAGCTTCCACTCTTATGCCACTTAAAATATGAAGGGAACAGGTGCCAGACTGTTGGTTTGTTTGGTTTTTCGAGACAGGGTTTCTCTGTGTAGTCCTGGCTGTCCTGGATCTCGCTCTGTAAACAAGGCTGACCTCAAACTCACAAAGATCTGCCTGCCTCCACCTCCCAAGTGCCACCGCCACCCAGCTAAACTGCCAGTTTTTAAAAGTCATACTAGTGACTGTGACTCCAAGCTAAAGTGACTGTCCTCAAATGAAGGGACAGAGGTATATGAAAATCCACAGAGAAGGGAGTCTGAGCTAGAAAAGAAGGCTGGGGGGTTTCTTAGAGGCCATGTGGCTTGGCTGAAACATCAAAGGCAAGTCATGTGTAGGAACAGAAGAATGTTCCAGAGTGCAGGCAATAGGTGAAAAGATCCTGTGGTTAAAGGAACTGTACAGCATTCTAGGACCTCCCATGGCCATGGCAGGAGAGCAGTCATGGATCAGAGCTGTAGAGAGGTCAGTGGCCAGCAGCCCAACCACGTGGGGTGTGGAGAGGCATCTTAAGGGTGTTAAGCTCCATCCTAGAAATAGAGGAAAGCCTTTGGACAGCGAGGATGGGAGCTAACAGTGAATTCATATTCTTTAAAGAGCCCTCCACCAACTAGGTTGTGGTGGCGCACGCCTTTAATCTCAGCAATCAAGAAGCAAAGGCAGGCAGATCTCTGTGAGTTCAAAGACAACCTGATCTACAGATTGAGTTCCAGGACAGCCAGGGCTACACAGAGAAACCCTGTTTCAAACAAACAAACAAACAAACAAACAAACAAACAGCTCTCCACATAATAAAGTGAATCAGTTAGGTAGGCAAACTGAGGGGGTGCAGCCAGGCCAGTCACCGTATCCTGCAGCTATCTGTGACCCAGAGGTCAGAGGACCTCCACAGCTCAAAGAACACCACAGACAGGAGGAAAGAAGAACATTGGAGGCAAGTGGGGAGGGTTGTGGAAGATTTTCTCTCAGGTGTGATGTGGAAATTACAGCTCTTGAACTCCGCAACTGTAGTTATTAGTAAAGACTCCGCAAGCTTGGGCCCTCAACACTCCGTCACAGAGGAGGGAAGGACACGAGGCCCCATCCTTCCCTGAGGCTACAAATTCAATTAATGGTCAGTGGGAGAAACAAGACAGATGTCCAATAGTGTAGCCGCCATAAGGTGCCCCTGCCCCTGTAAGCAACTCATTGCCCATTTTCCTGTAAGCAACTCTGACTGAGCGCACTGGGTCATCAGAATTGTAAAAGAAAAAAAAAGAAGACAAAGAAGAAGAAAAAGACAAAGCCAAGCATGATGGTGCACACTGTCATTGCACCTGGGAGGCAGAGGGTGCTGGATCTCAGAGCCTGGTCTGCAAAGTGAGTTCCAGAACAGCCAGGGATGTTGCACAGAAAAACCCTGTCACAAACAAACAAACAAACAAACAAACAAGTGTAAATAAATAAATAAATAAAGACAAGACAAGACAATGGGACTGGTTAGAAAGAAGGGGATTGGTGGGGGAGGGGAAACTCTGCTTGACAGTTTCAAGCAGAAGGGGAAGATAAATACCAAAGTACTTCATATAACTGGGTGCGGTGGCTCACATCTTCAGTCCCAGCACTCAGGTGGGTCTTTGTGAGTTCAAAGCCAGCCTAGTCTATATAGTGAGTTCCAAGACTACCAGGGCTATACAGTGAGACCCTGTCTCAAAAAAAAAAATTATATACATGTGTGAAAATGTCAAAATCAAATCACTATTATATGTAGTTAATATATGCTATTGAAAACCTGTGAAAATAATGGGAAGGGGCTGTCAGGTTTTTTTTTTTTTTTTTACTCTTTTGGGGGGCCCGCCACTCAGCTCCCAAATAAATCACACACAGAGGTTTATTCTTAATTATAAATGCCTGGCCTTAACTCCGCTTGTTTCTTGCCAGCTTTTCTTAACTTTAAATTATCCAGTCTACCTTTTGCCTCTGGGCTGTTACCTTCCTCTGTTTCTGTATACCTTCCATTATTTCTTACTCTGTGGCTTGTGTGTAGCTGGGTGGCTGGCCCCAAATTCTTCCTCCTCCTTTTCTCTTGATCTTTCTTCTTTTCTGTACTGACTTCTAGACTAGCCAAGGCTACACAGAGAGACCCTGTCTCAGAAGAAAACACACACACACACCCCACATAGAGCCTTACAGCCAGCCATGCCTGAGGAGCGTTCAGTACACTCAAGAGCTGAGCAAACCCGGAAGATGCTGTCTAAAGGTTGCTTTACGTTCTTGCATTGGTCAGGAGAGGAAGGTCTAGGTAGTCTCATGATGACAATTCAAAGAGTCCTGTCTTCCACGGTCAGGGTAATACATTTCTGGAAAATCCCTGATAAATAGGATTCTCTGGTTTTCCAGATGAAAATGTCTGCTCATGAGAACTGAGGGGGGGGGGGGATGAACCTTGAAGAGAGACCAGAAAAATGGTTATTGCGACATCTTACATAGACTGGGGCCTTTGAGATCTACCTAGACTGTAAAAATAACAAACCAACCAACCAACAAATGAATAAACAAACAAACAATAAACCACATTTTTATCTAAACTCTGTGATAATCCTTTCAGTTTCCACATGGAACTGAAAATGTTTCTGGATCCTTTTAGGAGCCAGGGGGTGGGGTGGGGTGGGGGGAGACACTCATGGTGGAGAGGTGACCTGGGGCTGAGCACTGATCAGATCACTTTGTTTTGTAGCATGGACAGAAACACTGACAGAGATCCACAGAAGCAACTGGACCAGAAGGCTATGGATGCGCTTGCCCGAAATCCACACGATGGGTTGCTGGTTACAAACATTAACCAGACCCAGGACCTACTGGTAACAACCGTAGTGCTTCTGTTCACCAGTGACGCTTACAGATCATAGCCAGGGGATGTGGAGTGTACTCAGCTCTTTCTTCAATAGGACCCAGCACTGAAACCGTGACTAAGTGTTCCTCTCTAGCCACTAGGTTTATAAAAGGAGAGTTTCTGTTTCGGTCATAGAGCTAGCTCTTCAGCCTTCAGGAACATCATTAGATATTTAGGAGCATGTGAGGATCCTGGCTTCAGTATCGAAGCCTGAAAGTCTAAAGCATTTGATTCGAAAGCCCCCTTGCTGAGATTTTCTTGTAGGAGTCCATAAGACCTAAGTCCTGGAGTCCACTTCAGGAAGTGCTGTGGGAACGGGAGCCAGGGCAGAAGGCTTGACTTAAGGGGAGAAAGAAAGAGCCCCACACTGTGGGTCAGGCTCACTCTGGACAAGTGAACCACCTTCCAATCATGCACAACTCAGTTCTCTCTACCGTGGAAGCAATTGTCTTCACAAGTTGTGAACTCAAGGGAGGCAGGCAGCGGCCACCGGCTAGTAAATCCATACTAGACTACAAACATGATACCAGTCAGAGAATGTCATCCTTACAGTTAATACCAGCAATTAAAGAACCAGAAAAACAGTCAACTTCGACTTTTCTCAAGCATGGGCATTTATGGGACAAGAAATATAAATAAACAGAAACAAGGAAGCCAAGCATGGTGGCACAGACCTGTAAGCCCAGCAGTCTGGAGGGAGAAGCAAGAGGATCTGGAGTTCAAGGCCAGCCTCAGCTCTCTGCTACATAGTGAGTTTGAGGCCAGCCTGGGACACATAAGACCCTTTCTAAAGAGGAAAAGCAAAGGGGAAATGAGGAACTGTGGGTGGTTCTAAGAAGAAAACATTCAGTGATGTCAGTTGCCAATGACGTGGGTCTTTGTTTCATCTGATTTCATGTCAGACCAACTCACTTTCCAGGCATGGGACGTGCCTAACTTAGCTTATCAGTAACAAACAGGTCTCTTGTTTCTCCTCTCAGCAGTGAGAGTCCTGATTGCCCAACAACGAGCTTGTAGTGTTCTCCATGTAAAGTGTCCACTCACAGTCACGAGGCCCCACCCCAACCAAGAAGCTATTTGCAGTTGATACCCACGGGCAAAGGGAAAATCAGTTTCTCCAGTGGATGTCACTGGGTGTATCAACCACATGCCAGGGTGGGCCCCCTGCCTAGGTTTTGTTCATCAACACAAAAGGAACTTTATTATAATTTTTGTTGAATTTTTTGTTTTGGGGGGGCATTTTTTTGTCTTTATGGCTTCTTGTTTGCTTGTTTTGATTTTAATTTTTGTAGGAGTTTTCCTGAGAGAGGAGAGAGAGAGAGAGCGCATAAAGTTGAGGGGAGATCTGGGAGGAGTTTGGACATGGGAAAAACATGATCAAAATATATTGTATGAGCTGGGCATGGTGGCACATGCCTTTAATCCCAGCACTCAGGAGACAGAGGCAGGTGGATCTCTGTGAGTTCAAGGCCAGCCTGGTCTACAGAGTGAGTTCCAGGACAGCCAGGGCTACGCATAGAGACCCTGTCTAGAACAATCAATATATAGATTTATTAAATAAATGATAAATAAATATAGTATGGAAAGAATTTTTTTTAATGAAAAGTGCCCACTTTAACAGAAGAGCAGCAAGGTCCTCAGTCATAAGCAATGTATGTAGGAATGGACTTTCAAATATCTGCAGGGCAAAAGCCACAGCCTAAAGCGAGACACTATTTCAAGCACAAGATGGAAAAAGGGTCACGCACAAGGTGTCCGGAAGAGAACAGTGCCACCTAGTGGTCACATGATACAGAGCCTGGTTTCCTGAAGCCTATGGCTGGGACCTGATCTCTGGCACTTTGTCTCTCAAAAGCAGGAAGGGTATTCTTAGGGTTGAATCACACCATGAGAAAGTCTCTCATACAGACAGCTGTGGTTTATGCTCCTTCAGAGAAGCCGTGAAGTGTTTTGGTTACAAGCTTGGCTTGATAGAGCCTTCCGAAGAATCCCAGCTCCACCACATCATTAGCTGTGTGACCTTGGGCAAATGACTGAAGTTCTCTGTGTTTCAGCTTCCTTGTCAGAAGAGTGATGGTCTCCTTGGATGACGTAACTTTACTATACGGAAAGTGCCCGGCAGAGCCTGGGCACTGTGTTAGTGTTTGCAGTCCTTAGGGGTGTGTTTTCACACATCCTGAGCACTTGCTAATTTCCTTTTGAAACTAGACAGAACAGGTCTTGGGAAAGAGTGCAAGGTGAGCCACACTGTCGAGCTGGAACACATTAGCAGCCTTTTATTTTCGCTGTCTTTAGTTTATGCCAACCCTCAGCTTAGGACAGAATCTGAGTGCAGAGGAGCTCCGGGTCGCGTTCTGTGTCCTAGCCTCACGCTGCCCCTGGCACAGCTAAGGAGAGGGGGCGCTGCCCGCAAGGAACCCGAGACCCGGAGACGCCTGTGTGCTACGCTCCTCCAGCCTTTTCCTCCCGTATCCTCTGCAGAGTGGCTCATTCTGCTGCAGTATACCGCTCTCAGCCCACTACAGTGAAAGCCCGATACATGAAATCCAAAGACAGACCACCAAGGGTGTCGAGTATGTACCCAGAAGGGATCTTTGGGCTGAACTCAGGCCATTTCCATAGTCATCAGGTTCGTTCTCTCTCTCTCTCTCTCTCTCTCTCTCTCTCTCTCTCTCTGTGTGTGTGTGTGTGTGTTGTGTGCACATGTGTATGTGTGTATATGTGTAATGAGTCTTTCTCTATAACACTAACTCCCAAATAACAACGAGACTTATTATTAATTATGAAAGTTTGGCCTTAGCTTAGGCTTGTCCCATTAGCTCATATAACTTAAAATAACTTATTTATTTTCATCTACATTCTGTCCTGTGGCTCATTACCTCATCTCTCTATACTGCCTATATCTTCCTCCATGTCTGGCTGGTAACTCTGCCTTCTACTTCCCAGAGTTCTCTCTGTCTCTGGAAGTCCCACCTATACCTCCTGCCTAGCTATTGGCCATTCAGCTTTTTATTACACCAATCATAGCAACACATTTTCACACAGTGTACAAATATCCCACAATATTTCCCCCCTTTTGTCTAAGTAAAAAGAAAAGGTTTTAACTCTAACATGGTAAAACTATATACAATAAGAACAATTACCAGGTAAGAATTATATTCACAATGTCTAGTCCATTTGTATTTGGCATATTTGGAGAAAATATCTTATCTTGATGAATTAAAAGTTTTATACCTAAACCATTTTCTATCATAATTGATATTACCATTCTAAAACTATCTTTTTAGACCTCAGAACATTTCTTAGATAAACAATTTAAGTTTTTATGTCTCTCGACTTTATATACTTTATACATCTTTTGTGAGTTTTTTTTCTGCATTTGGTAACAAGGAAAACTGTAATATAACTATCTCATCTTCAGCTCCATCAGAGACCCAAGAAGGATATAATATTACCTGAGTAAACAGGAAGTGCAGAGCAAGCAACTTCTAAAACTATAGAAATGACAGAGATATCTGGCTGCCTGGACAGTTGTCCAACAGTCCTGTATAACATTGCAGCATTCATCTTTGGCCTACAGGCCTAGAATATCTGACACTTTTTGAAGGACTGTCCTACCTTGTGTTAGCAAAGTTTGACAGTCACCGTCTTCTGTGTCCTGCTCATCCAATTTGGACAGCATACTGTCAGCAGTGGAGGCAAGGGCAGTTTCTTGCACAGTGGCTAACTTTGCCACAATAAAAGCAAACTCCGTATGGAGGTTCTTTGATGCCTATCATCCTTTTTTGAAGTAAATTGGTGCTGCCAGGAGCAGACATGTCACACTGTCATGAAAAGCCTTAGGTTATTAAAACATCTTAAATGCCATATTCAGTAGGTCTCTGAAGTGTTTGAAGATCACCTATCTATCTAAAGCATATCTCTGTTTAACCTTGAGAACATACCTAACATAACTACAAGTTTTATTATTATAGATGACTAACTACTAACCTGTATTTCTTAATTATACATTGCATTTTAAAATGAGTTGCACAGGTACAATACCTTAAACAAGAGTAGAAACATCTATATAGTATAACAAAAATAACCTTAAATTTGTATCACTATATAAAAATCCATACCAATGTAAAATATCTGAGACTAGTGGTTCTTCAAAAGCAGACTCAACAATCCACCCTTTTACCCCATCATTCTGTATCCTCCATTTTTTCTTTCAGAAAGAGATCCCTGAATCCGATCTCCTTTGTTCAGTTTTTTTTCCCCTGATCATGACCAATAACAGCTTGTAACCAACCCCCCTAAATGATGACAAACATCCATAACCTACTGAATGACCAGAAACCACCCAGTCCACCACTTGGCAATGTGGGCGTTGTGTTCTCTAGACTGCTTCCCATTGTCTGGAGGTGATCATATCTTTAGGGGACCCTGATAAAAATTGAGATAATGGTCAAGTCCTGGGAGAGTTAGCTGTATCATTTGTTGTCCAGTCTCTGTGTAATAGGCAGGGCTTGTCTGTAGTCCTGGATGGAACAGTTAGTGAAACCAGACCCTCTAAGCTAGCAGCTTTGAAGTTGTTCTGGATGCAGAATTTTGAAGAAACTACAACAGAGGCATTCTCTGAGAGGCTTGCCCATCTGAGTTACTTGTTTTCATTGGTGTCTAGCCCTTCCTTTTTCTAAAAACAAACTTTTAAAGGTAACATACATATCTGCATTAGCACAAGTATAGAATGTGTGTTGTGCACAAGTCAGCTAAAGATGGTTTGTTCTATGTTTGAATGAGCAAAGGACATCTACCAACTTTATAAGTCAATTTGGACTTTATAGGCAAACTATAACATAAATCTCTATCCATGCCATATGAAAGGATGGCATGTAATAATCTGTAGCCAACAAGGTTTATCATGTCTCTTCCAGTCTCAGAGCTGTTCCTATGTCAAGGGATCAGCTTATACATCACCTGTCTTGTAGTCTTTCTTGGCTTTTCCCCTCATGTCTGTTCATGAGCCAAGATCCTCAGGAGATTTTTCCCTGATCAAATCTGATCTTTATTCATTTTGAATAGATCGATAGCTTTTTGTTTCCTATGGAAACAAGGGCATATCCTCTCCCCCAACATAACACATATCCTGATTTCCATTTTAAAAGTAAGACATCCCTAAAGTATACAGGTTTAATTCAGCAGTTTCTTCCACAATCCAATGTCAGCAGCTGTCATTTGCTCATCAGCATTAAATTTAAAAAATTCAAAGTCATCAAAGCACCATACAGGATCCAGACTCCCTGTGGATTTCCCATCCTTATGTGGCTTCTTTTTATATTACTTTACTCTTTCTTTAAAGACTTTATTATTTTAAAATTATTTTTATGACTGTCTATATTTTTTACTGTATGTGTTTAGATGTTGTTGTTGTAGTTTTTTTTTTTTTTTTTCAGTCTGGACCAATTTACTTGTACCTTCTCTGATCATGTGAGCCAAGCTTTAAACCCACCCTGTGGCTCTGCTTAGCACATGGCTGGCTGGCTCTGCCCCTCCTCAGTCCTTGAGAGCCAGCCTTAAGCCAGCAGTCCAGCCCAGTTCTGGGAAGTTAGTGGGCTGTGGCAAGTGTTTTGACTTAGCATGCTGTTTCTTCTTAGTGCACAAGCTATTCAAGTACTCGATATACAGCAGAGATGTGCCTCTGTACACTATGAACACTGGGAAACTAGGAAGCCAGATCCATTGTTTGTTTGTTTGTTTGTTTTCAGCTTTCTCAGGACCTATGTGAAAATATGTGCCCAGACATTGGGTGTCATATGTAATTGACATATGTAACTGTGCCATATATAACTGTGACATATGTAACTGCCTTCTCCATACTGTCTATGTTGCTTCTTCCGCATCTGGCTATGACTCTACCTTCTTCCCAGAGTTCTCTCTGTCTCTGGAAATCCCACTTATACCTCCTGCCAAGCTGTTGACCATTCAGCTTTTTATTACACCAATCACAGCAATACATTTTCACACAGTGTAAAAATATTCCACAACATATATGTGTCTGTATGAACCTGTGTCTGTGTGTGTGTGTGTGTGTCTGTGAAGTGTGTGTGTGTGTGTGTGTGTGTGTGTGTGTCACTGTGTGTCTCACAGTGAGACTGAGCTGGATTCCAGATCCTTAGTGAACAGTAGCTTCTCAGCCTTTTACCTGAGATGTGGTGAAGTGGATTATGTCCAACTCCATGGGTGTTCAAGGCCCTTCTGGAGCACATCGACGGCAGTTGTGACACGGGAAGCTCTTGCTGGCCCCGTCGTGCGTGCACACTTGTGCAGCTGGTACCCGTGCAGTCTGGACTTTCATCACCTCTGACTTACTACTGTCTTAGTTATCTTTCTATCACCGTGACCAAGCACCATGGCCAAGGCAACTTCTAAAAGAAAACGTTTAATTGTGGATATGATCAAGATCATCCCACTGAGAACAAAACAGAAAGGTATCCAGACCTCTCTCACTATGAGGGAGGCAGACCCCATGACTTGTGTTTGCTGTCAGCTCGACAGCAGGATGGGACATAGAGAACTTCATATGGAAGAAAGGGCTTCCTCCAGGACCTCTGCCTACAAGCTCTCAGCATGTGGGAGGCTAGAGGAGGAATCAGCAGAGGAAGGCATCTTACATGATTGGTTCAGCAAGCACACTTTACTTTCTCTGGATGGTCCTGGGTTAGAAGTAGGGGCACACAAACATGGGAAGCTAACAGTCTTAGGACCTAATCCTAGCCATTCGGGGGCCAATTTTTGCAGACGTTGTGATTCTACTATCAGGTTGTTTGGTCATTGTGTTTGTCTGATCACTCCCATAGTGAGCTGCCCTTGAATATGAGAGCCACATCTGGGGCCTGGTATAAGGGTGGTGTTTCCAGAGTAACCATTCTCATGTTCACATGCTCCCTCAGCAAGGAGATTGGTTTTATTGCTGCTGTGTTGTTGGTGGTGGTGCTTGGAGGCAGGGTCTTGCTCTGTAGCTCAGGCTGGCTTTGAACTTCAGGTCAGTCTCCCAAGTGCTGTGGCTACTGCTATGTACCACTGTTCCCAGTTAGCAGGGAGAACTTTTAGAATACCTTGAGATAGGGTCTTTCAGAGTTCACAGACCTTGGGAATCTGTATGAAGGGAACCCAAAGCACCCTTGTCTGTCCCTGCTTCCTGCTGTTTCCTGCCTGACTCTGGCTTGTACCTTGTAGAAGCTGCAGGCAAGTGAGACTCTGGAAGACTCTGAAGACTGGCTTTCAACTCACAGTTTAAAGTTTGAGAAACTCACCTTGGCTGACCTGATAAGCCAGGGCACGGTTGAGCTGTAAGTCTGAAATCTTTCTGCCCTTCCTCCCGAGCTCCCCAAGGCCGCAGCGGCACACCCAGCCCCAAGCCTGAGAACCCCCAAATAAAGCTTTGCACACCCAGTCCTGAGCCTGAGAAACACCACATAAAGCTTTGCTTTTTTTCAGGGAGGAGTGTGGCAATGCCATGCCCAAAGTGCATTTCTCCGCCCAGACCGTCCGCCGCTTTGAATCAAGGCTTTCTGAGTAAGTTTCCCAATGTCCTCCAGCACCCCTAAGCTTGAGGCCTTATCTCATCTCATAGCCTGCACATGGTTGGGACCAATCAGCAATTTCAGTGGACCTTAAACTTGTCTCATCTACCTCTAATTTGCCCTTTTCTCAAATGAAAATGTTGAACTAGATTGGCGCCTCTTGGCCTTTGAAAGGCCTGGTGCCCTTGGATGAGTGCCTCAGATGTCCCCGCTTCATCTGCTGGTTAATGGCAGAGAGCTCTGCCGGACTGGTACAGTTCTCACCTTTGCAGACGTGTGTCAAACAGGCATGTGCCCAACTCCCAAACCAATTATTTTTATTTTATGTGTGTGGGTGTCTTGTCTGCATGTATGTTAGTGCATACAGATGTGCCTGGTATTCACAGAGTTCAGAAGAGGGTGTGGCATCCCCTGGAACAGCTGCCATGGGGGTGCTGGGAATTGAACCTGGATCCTCATCAAGATTACCAAGTGCTCTTAACTGATGAGCCATTTCTCCAGCCTGACCCAAACCAATCTTGATAGCACAAGTAGCATGCACACATACTCAGAGTGCATGTGTGCACGCACGCGCGCGCGCGCACATGCGCGCGCGCGCCCCTCCCCCCCATCTTCCCATAATCATCAGTATACAGGATAGTCTTAAGATTCCATCCCACACTGGGCAGTGGCCTTTAATCCCAGCACTCAGGAGGCAGAGGAAGGCAGATCTCTGTGTGTTTGAGGCCAGCCTGGTCTTCAGAGTGAGTTCCAGGATGGCCAGGGCTATACAGAGAAACCCTGTCTCGAAAAAAAACAAAAAAAGAAAAAAAATGCCTCTCAGCTATAGCTGTAGTAATCTCTGATCCATAATTACTGTTGCCTAAGCTTTCCCAAAAGGTTATGATGGTAATTAATCGCTAACATTTATTAATGTGCCCGAAACTCTGCTAAGGGCTGCCTACAAGATCTTTCTTCATCTTTGTAACTGCCCCAAACATTGTATTATTCTCTAATTACCAAAAGTCAGTCGTTCAATGATCATTCATACAGCAACCAATTAGTGGATTTATCATGCTCTAACTATACATTTATAGAAAGTTAGCCGGATGGTGGTGGCACACGCCTTTAATCCCAGCACTCAGGAGGCAGAGCCAGGCAGATCTCTGTGAGTTCGAGGCCAGCCTGGTCTACAGAGTGAGTTCCAGGACAGACACCAAAACTACACAGAGAGACCCTGTTTCGAAAAACAAACAAACAAACAAATAGATAAATTTATAGAAAAATTTTGGGGTCAGAAAGTTTTAAAGATTAAATAATTACATGATGTTCTATTAGTTCATTCATTTATTCATTTGTAAAGGGTCTATGTAGCTCAGACCGGCCTTTAACTTGAGATCCTCCTGCCTCAGCCTCCCAAGTCGCTGGATTACATTCTGGATTACTGCATCTTTGTAGAGTTCTATAATTAATATTTGGCTCTGTTGTTTTGAATTATAAATCCAACATTTTGTTTTTTATTTGTTCTTTGATAGTTTAATACATGTATGCAATTAAATATGGTCACATCTACCCTTCATTTCCTCCCAGACCCTTCCCCAAACACCCCCTCCCAACTTCATGTCATGGTCTTCATCAGCTCCTCCTCCTCTTTCTTTTGATACGTTGCTGAGTTGCTAGAGTTTTCCTGCCTTGCCCACAGTCAGGACAAATCTTTGTCACCCGCCAGTCCCACAGCGGCTCAGACCCAACCAAGTAAACACAGAGACTTATATTGCTTTCAAACTGTATGGCCGTGGCAGGCTTCTTGCTAACTGTTCTTATATCTTAAATTAATCCATTTCCACAAATCTATACTTGCCACGTGGCTCGTGGCTTACCAGTACTTTACATGTTGCTTGTCCTGGCGGTGGCAGGCAGTGACTCCTTCTGCCTTCCTGCTCTTTTATTTCTCCTCTCTGTTAGTCCCGCCTATACTTCCTGCCTAGCCACTGGCTAATCAGGTTTTCTTTATTGGCCAATCAGAGCAACACATTTGCCATACAGACCATCCCCCAGCACAGCCAAGTGCAGACCATCTCAGACACCTGCACTCAGGCCCATGGTCCTAATCACCCTCTATGTGGACCTGCTGAGTAAAGCCATGAGGAACCCGAGAACGGGCTCCCACAGGACATACAGAACATCCCATAGCACTGCTGAGTTCTGTTAGTTCTGCCTATATGTACATGAGTGTACAGCGGTCCACTGAAGCATGGGTAATGTGCCAGTCTGCATTCTGACAAAGATATGAACCCAACATCCTTAAGGAATAGTCAAGGCCGTTTAACTAATCGGGCAGTTGGCAAATTGACTTGGACAGAGTCTGTGATTATCTTTACATAGAAGATGATGGAACTCTGGGGTTCAGCAAGGATACTCTGCCTTCCAAAGGTCACGCAACCCGTAAACGGCAAAGGAAAGTCATCAGCACCCTATCTTGCTTCATAGGAGAGCTGCGCCCCCCGCCCCCACCCTTCCCATGTGCCCCCAGTCTAGTGCTCTGGCAAACACATACCTTTAGCTCTCTTTGCTACATTTGCCTTGCATTCTCCTTAAAAACAATAAATTCAGCTAACCAGGTAGCTCATGCCTCTGATTCCAGAGTGGGTAGGCTGAGGTAAAAAGACCGAGAGTCTTAGGCTGGAACGGTGGAAGGCTCCGTGAGTGAATAAAGGCTGCTGCACAGGCCTGGGGAGCGAGAGCTGAAGTCCTGGACTCCGGAGGGTGGGGGTGGGAAGCCGACTCCTCCTCCTAACACACTTGCGCCAGAACACACACACACACACACACACACACACACACACACACACACACACACACACACACACACCTCAATAGGAAGGTAGAGGCAGGCAGAATTCTGTGAGTTTGAGGCCAGCCTTATCTACATAAGTTCTGGGCCAGCCAGGGCTATACAGTGAAACTCTGTCTCAAATAAAAAATAAAATAAAGTAAAACAGAAAGTTTTTAAGTAAAAATTTAGATAACCAAAGCTTGTAAAATCCTAGCCACCTTCCCCTGTGTGTAAGTGACAGCGCTTGGTGATGATCTCTCTGGTGTCTCCACAGCACTATCGAACTCTATCAGCAGAGGATGCGCTGGCTCACAGAGAACAGCAGGAAGGTAATGGCACCCCTGTGGCTCTTCCCACCATCCTCAGCCCAGCCCTTGGGGCTGGGTTAGAGCCCTGGCTTCCACTAAAACAGAGACTTCCTAACCCACAAACATGGAAGCTGCAGACACAGCTCTTCTTGTTGCTTACATTCTCCTGAGGCCCGGCTGGGCATGGCGGGCCTCACCTGTGGTCCCAACCCTGGGGAGTCTAAGGCAAGGAGAGTGAGGATTCAGGCCGATGAGATGCTCACAGTAAAGGCGCTTTCAGCCACACCTGGAAACAAAGTGACATCTCCGGGTCCTACATGGTGGAAAGAAAAGCAATTCCTGAAGGTTGTCCTCTGACCTCCACAGGTGTTTGCTCTCTCTTGCCCTCCCGCTCTCTCTCTGTCTCTCTTTCTCACACACACATACACATGTGATTTTGACTTTAATTTTTTGTTTGTTTTGTTTCTCGGGACAGGGTTTCTCTGGGTAACTCTGGCTGTTCTGGAACTCACTTTGTAAACCAGGCTGGCCTCAGACATCCACCTGTCTCTGCCTCCCGAGCTCTGGGATTCAAGTTGTACACCACCACTGCCCAGATCAACTTGTTTTGTTTGTGTGTTTAAGAACATTGAGAGTCCGAGGCTACCCTGGGCTGCACAGTCAGATTCTGCCTCAGAAATCTAAAAAAATAAAAATAAAAATTTCCTTTGGCTTGGTTTTTCATGGGAAGATGGTCACTGGTGACATTAAGTTTACATCACCATCCAGACCACTCCAGTCAAAGGGACCTCACATCATGGTCCCTACGAACACTCCAAGTCCTCGGATTGACTCACTGGACTTCTTTAGAGCAGTCCCATCTTCAAAGCTGGCTCGGCCTGAGTCTAGTGCTCCTGTCTGGGGAAACAGAGGCAGGAGGGCAGGGCAAACAAGGAGGGCGGGGTTAGCGCTTCCAGACCTCGCGGTCTGAGGAGACAGAGGGCCACACATGGGAAGGCAGAGTGCTGCTCCCAGACAGGACAGACTCTATCTGCATCTACACGGGGGCTAGAGCAGGGTCGCCAGCCAGCAGTGTGCAGCTCCCCGCTGGTCTGGAAGAGTCTTCGTTTTGGCTCCATAATTTCAGAAGTTTTCTCCTTAGTTGTCCAGATTTCAAAATCTTCATATCTTACTTTGGGGCTTGCTTTCTGGCCTCTCTTGAAAAAGGAGACTGTCAGGTACCACTGGGCTCTGGTTCCCTTGGATACACCTTGCCTCTTTCTGTTGCCCTTTGAGGGACGACCACTCTCCTGCCTCAAGAGTGCAGGGCTGGGCTATTTACACATTTCCTCTTTGGTTTTAGGCATTTGGCCTCATCAAGGGAACAAGAGTGGGACTCCTCATTGATGCGTCCCAGGTCAGCAGTGGCCCTCAGCAAGAAGAATTCCAAAATGACCTGGCAGTAAGTCCCCGGCTTGAGGTGTACCTCCCCAGCCCCCCACTTCTCCCCACTTCCCGGCCTGGGGTACAAACTCACTTGTTTATAGCAAATGCAAAGCAGGGCCATTCACGAAGAACAGTTCTCACTTAATTAGCACCTCCAGGGGAAGAAATGTGTGGAACTCTGTAAAACCTCACCACAGACTCATTTTCACTTACAGTGTGAACTTCTAGTATTCTCCCCACAGCAGAACCTCCCAGCTAGACACCCCACCCCCTGCAAAAGCCCGGGTTCCCTCAGACAGGATGTGGACTGGAGTCTGTTCCTTCCTGTTCACCTGTTTGGGGACGATGGCCTCATACTACAGCACAGCATTGGGCCGCTGGCTTTTGCCAGATGGTAAAGCTACTCTGGTTTCTTCGGACTTTTCCAAAACAGAAAAGTAGAGTCAAATCCCGGCTACCTCCCCCGCTTCCAGGCTACAGGACCCTGCTACCTCCTTTGTAAAGCAAGTGGGGAGGACAATATGGCCACCTCAGAGAGCTGTCATAGAAGGAACCTCTAGTACTAACTCTGGCTCCGACAGACTCTGAGGCGATGGAGAAGGGTGCTTACAGTCTGGGGTAGGCACCAACCACATTGGCAGCAGCTTGTGTTTCATGAGGGTTGAGCGGAGCCTCGAGAGGCTCCATGTGTGACCGCCATCCCCATTCAGCACGGTTTTGCACAGCACAGCTCCCCAGCCATGAGGACAGCCTATAGTAGAGAGTGTCGTCATGTGCCCAGGTTCCATAGAACCCCGGCTCTGTGAGCCCCTTATGTCCTTTTATCCACAGAGTCTCATTGACGAGCAACTGAGCCTCAAGGAGAAGTTGTATGTCCTGTCCTTCGGCGTCACCACCAAACCCCTCTGGCTGGACCCCGTGGAAGTCAGCGCGTCCACGTGAGTGGCTGCCCCGTCTCTCCACCAGGATTGTCCACTTGTTCCAGTTCAGTGGGATGTTGACACCTGTGCTTATTTGTTCATTTGTTTGAATTAAGGTCTTGTGTGGCCCAGGCTGGCCTCAAGCTTGCTATACAGCTGAGGATGGCCTTGATCTTATAATCTTCCTGCTTCCACCCCTAAGGGCTGGGGTCACAAGTGTGCACCTAGTTTATAAGAAACTAGGCTTCCTACATGCTGGGCAAACACTACCAACTGAGCTCTGTCCCCAACACTTCACTGAATGTTTAAGATGCAAACCACATCAGGTAGGGAAGCACACAGTAATGAGTCCCAACAGCAGAAATATGGGCAGGCAGCAGTTAGAAAGATGGTGACCGCCCCCATGCTCTTACAAAATAAAGGATAAGACCACCACAAGACAGATTGCTTGCTTTTGTATTTTTATTTTTGCTGATCTGGAGATGGAGCCAGGACCTTGAGCATGCTGGCCAAATGCTTTACCTCAGAGCTACATCCCCAGCCCCAAACACCACTTTTATGCAGCAAACTAGAAATGACAGCTTTATTATTATGAAAATAATATGTGCATGTTTTCAATAATCCAGAAAATCTGCATGGATAAATAACAGTGGATGAACCTCCTTTATACTGCCATTTCTACTCTTACCACCCAATAATAGCTTGCACATCTGTTCCACAGATGGGCCACACACACACACATCCACGTTCCATCCGGTTTAGGCAGAAGCAAGACAGCTGAGCCAGGTGGTGCATTCCTGCATCCTCAGCTCATCAAGATGCTAAGGCACAAGGATCACAAGTTTAAAGTAGCCAGAGCTAGAGTTGCCAGCCTGGGCAACTTAGTTAGACCTCTGTCTCAAAATAGAATTTGAGAGTAAAAGGGGGGGGGGGCAAAGGAGTATGGCTTTGTGTTAGAGTATTGGCCTTGGCCCTATCCCTGATACCACAAGTAAAGAGCATAAGCCGCACGAGCAAACAGCATAAGGGGGAGCTCATAACCCTGATCTGTGCCGTGGCCTTTCACCCAGTCTTAGTCTTGTTTCCTATTACTGCATACATCACCTCACTGGTAGTGGCTGCATACTATTCCATTGCTTAGATGCCCTCTAGTTGGATAGGATGGGATTTGGGGGGAATCTGGAAAGGAGGTACGTAAGAATATCTGTTTGTGCCGGGAAGTAATTTGTTGTCTATGATGACAGTGTCTTTGATTGCCCCTGTGATGTTGGGTGTACCATGCTAGGCACTTTACAAGTATGAACACATTGAAAATCTACCGCCATTGCAATAGAGTTATAATAGCCATTTGGTAAATGAGGAAGTGTGGGCACAGGGAATGTGCCTGGCTGGAATTGCAAATCTCAGGGCAGAGTCAGGAAAAAAGCTAAGCTTAGGGTAGAGGCACCTGCTGCCAAGCCTGGCGACTTGAGTTCAATACCCCAGGGTCCACATGATTGGAAGGAATGAACTCACTCCTGACCTCCATATGCACAGCATGGCATGCCCTATCTCCCCTCAGCTAAATAAAGGCACTAAAGACCTAAGCTTTGGTTTCCTTTGGTCCAGCACCAGCTGTGAAGAGGACAGTCCAGCCCTGGCCTCAGCCACAGCTCTACACCCCCCCTCCCGCACCCCAGATTAAAGTGAGTGATACCTGCTCTTCACAGAGTTGATGTCAAGATAAAAGGAGGACCAGGAACCTGGCACATGACAGCTACTCTGTGAAGAAGATCATTTTCACTGTTTTCTATTCCAACTAGACCCGGAAGTCACTCTGAGATTGTCTAGTCAAGAGCTCCTCAGCGTCAGTCACCCTGGGTCTCCCTTATATTCCTGTCATTTCTCTGCCTCAAAACTAATGTTTACTCCATGCCACTTGCTCCGTTGTTGAATTTTCATCACATCAATTCTATTTATTGTTGAAGGAAAGTTCCTATAAATTCCACAACTGAGAAGTCCATATCACTTGCCATCATTAGGAGGTAAAAGTAAATGCAGTGGAAGGAAGATATTAACTTCCACCTTGAAAGCATTATTGGCTGCAGCAGGTGCTTAGACCTGAGACTCGGGCTCTGGTGAATTATTTGCGGGGCGTGTGCATGACTCGGGGTTCCAGCCCCCAGCATTGCAGGAGCAAAAGGGAGCGAGATAACAGCATAATGAAAGCACCAAGTAGGATTTCACTTCCGTGCTGGGGTTGAACCCGGAGCTTCACAGACACGAGGTGGGCCTCAAAGGGGACGTCCCTTCTGTCGGGCTGAAAGAGAAGTGGAAAGAGCCGAAGTGTTGCATCTGGGTTTAGCCATGTCTGCTCTTATCAGTGAGTGGCTCCCAAGCCACACGGGACACAGCTACACAGACGTGCACCTCCCTGCTCTTAGAGCCTCCACAGAGTCCAGAGATCCACTCGATGCCTCATGCCAACATCTGTGCCCCAGAAGAGCTATACAGGGTGTGACAGGACTCAGTTCCAGGGACTCGAGTAGCAGAGTTGCCAAGAACCCGGGTTCCAGAGTCAGGGTTTGCTTGAAATCCAGGTCTGACCAAGTGTTTGTTGTACCACATCAGGCACGTTCTAACTCCAAGCCTGAGTTTCCTCATTCATGGAATGCAACTAAAGGTATCCACCTCAAGAATTATGGTTAGACTTAAATGAGCTGAGATTTGTCTAGGGCTGGCACCTTGTCAAAGTCCTAAAGAGTCACCTGCCACATAATGACATTTTGATCAACAACAGATCTGATGTGGTCCTATAAAATTATAATGGAGCTAGGTGTGGTGGTGCATGCTTTTAATCCCAGCACTCAGGAGGCAGAGGCAGGGAGATCTCTGTGAGTTTCAGGCCAGCCTGGTCTACATAGAAAGTTCTAGGCCAACCAGGGATGGATAGATGGATGATAGATAGATAGATAGATAGATAGATAGATAGATAGATAGATAGATAGAAGATAAAATAAAAATAAAATCCAAAGATAACAGAGCTGCACATCTCCTATCCTGTCAGGCTTCTGTGCTTCCAACCAGCCACATAGAAGACAAACAACACAGCCCTGGTACAGTGTGTAATGCATGCCAAGGCCTCATGCACGCTAGGCAAAACCTCTCCTAACTGAACTACACCCCCAGCCCCTAGCCCGTGCTTTTGGTTAATGTTTCAGGGAACACCCTTTCTGTTATAACAAAGGTTTACTGCAAAACAGTATGTGGCAGGCTTTCTTGGACAGCCAGCTCCCAAATCATGACACAGAGACTTATTATTAATTATGAATGCCCAGCCTTAGCTTAGGCTTGTTTCTAGCTAGCTCTTTTTTTTTTTAACTTAAATTAACCCATTTCTGTTCACCTGTGTGCTGCCCTGAGGCTCGTTTACCTCATCTACGTAATGTCTATCCTGCTTTCCTGCTTCCTCCATGTCTGGCTGGTTGGCCCCAGGCTGGCTAGCTGGCCGGCTGGACCCCCTTTTCTCTCTGCCCACCAGCCCCACCTATGCCTCCTCTCCTAGCTGTTGGCCGTTCAGCTTTTTATTAGACCAGTCAGATGCCTTAGACAGGCAAGGTGAACCAGCAACACATCTTTACATAGTTGAACAAATGCAGCATAAACAAAAGCGGCACACCTTTACATAGTTGAACAAATGTTCTATTCCACAACACCACCACCCAGTGGCAACCTCATCTTGTGCTCACCTCATCTCCTTCATTGCCTTATTTTCCCTCATGCGCGCTCCAGTCTCCCGTCATTCAGTGCGTCACAACACTAAAGCATAGGCCACACCCTCTGTGTGCCCCATGCAGCTCAGCTACATGGTAGGCTATGCTATCTAGTTCTGTGTACGTGCACTCAGTGATGGCACACAACGTTGGGCAGAATCACCCAGAGACATTGCTTAGAACATGTCCTGGTCGGTTATCCAAGCATGGAGCCTCAAAGGCTATTGCCAAGTCCAAAGGAACCTTGGTGAAAGAAAAAATATTGGCTCAGGACTCCCAAGGCCAAGTTCTCAGCACAAGGGAGATTTATGTGCCCCAGAGGGACAAAGACCGAAGATAAAGAAAGGGGGGAAACAGAGCAAGGGAGGGGGGAAGGGATATTTGCCCCAGAGGGACAAATGTGTCTCCCAGAGGAGACAGATGTGGCCCATAAGAAAATGGCAGTTTATAAAGGTAAAATGGGTGAGGTGTTTAATTTTAATTAGGTGAGTCAAAGGGGGCTTTTGATTGCTGGACTTCAATACTTTGAGTAGCTGGACCTTGGTAGTCAGCCTCAGGAGAAGGAAGTGACCAAATGAGAGAACAGGCCTTGGGGGCTAGCTTCAGGAATGTAACCTAACAGTTTTGATCAAGGCAGAGGGAAGCGGGAAGAAGGGCAAGGCCTGCCGGAGCCATGTGCCCCAGTGGGCTAGTGTCCCTTCACTTGGAGAACCAGGTCATTAAGCTGCACACGACTATAGTTAGGCTGCTGTGTCTCCTTCCAGCCTCGAGGAACTGAAGCTCTGGGTAAAGAAGCTGCAGCCTGAGGGAAGCTGCAATCTGCTACAAGCCTTGAAGAAAGTCTTTGCTCACAAGGAGCTGAATTCTCTGGTGACCATATTGAGAAGCTGGTAGGTCTCCTTTCTTACTCAGCAGGTAATAGACTACATGAAGGAGGCTGAGGACCCAAGCCGTGTCTGAGAAAAGACATCACCAAGCATGATGCTTCACACACACTTGAAAGAATGGTTCTGTTCATAGGCTACCCATGTATACTTGGGGCAGGGCAGCCAGGGCTGCCTGGCGCTGCTGTCCACCCAGCTCTGCAGCTTACCCAGGTGACCTAGGACACAGGTGATCAGTTAAGAATGAGTAGAGGGGCTGGGAAGGTGACTCAGTCAGTAAAGTGCATGCAAGCATGAGGACCTGAGTTCAGATCCCCAGCACCCATTTAAAAAAGTACCGTATGCCTGTAATGTTAACACTGGGGAGGCAGAGACAGGAGCAACCAGTGCTTCCTGACCAGCCAAACTAGCCAATCAATGACTCCCAGGTTCAGTGGGAGATCCTAGCCGGAAAATAATATAGAGAGTAATGATGGAAGACACAGGATATGGATTTCTGGCCTCCTCATGCACACATACATGCATGTACCATCATATACAAGAACACATGTACATATAAATACACACACACACACACACACACACACACACACACTCGTTCCCTGGGAATTACCATTTTCCATTTTGATCGGGGATGTTCACAGCATAGTTCCAGTACGGAGTACCCATGCCTCCTCTTGCATCCGCTCCACAGTCCAGATCAGCCTTCTGAATTCCTGTCTGACTACATCCAGCAGTCCACCATAGGACGGGACCTCGTCATTCATGTGACCACCTACAAATGCAATGATCATGTGCCCTCCGTGAGTATCTGAACTTTTCCAAAGCTCCTCTTTTACAACAGTGAACTGAGCTGGCCTCGGAGACTGCCGGAGCAGGGTGCCCAAGCTGTGGAGAGAACCCTGCTCTCTTGGGCCCACGTCTCCCATTGGTGAACAGAGGGTGTGGGAGAGTCTGAAAGCTCTGACAAGGAACATTTGTCAGACTATTGCTGGGGCTGACTCTCCCCCTCCCCCAGGCTGTTCTGAAGAACCTCACAGACGCGCTTCGGGGCTACCACCACTGCTACAGCTCAGAGTCAGAGGTAAGCCTTTTGAAGACCGGCTGTACCGGCCACCTGCCCAGGGCTGGGCCTGGGGGATCTGACCAGGACAGACTATGCCACATGAGCGCATATTCTTTTCCCCACTTCTTCACGCCTGCTCTCCATGCTCGGTGACTTTGAACAGGTAAAATCATATGACAGTGAAAATGTGGAAAGAACAGGGACAAGCTGGAGTGGTAAGCTGTTGGTAGCTTGTCTGATGGGCTGGTCACACACTTGTGAAGCCTGTTCAGCAGAATCCCCCATCACTTTCTACAAATATGAACACAACCCTAGCTTGTTTCACGTCCCACCGGAGCATCCAGGCCGAAACAATGGCTCCAAATTTCCTTCCTAAATAAGCCCCTACTGTTGGGAGAGACTCCAGAAGGGCAGAAGGGCACTCCACTCCTTAGCAGTCCGTTCACTGGGGTCCTTGTCCCCATTGCCAGCTCAGCACCGCCTACTCTGTGTTGTCAGAGGTGACGTTTAATGCACAGCTCCATTTGGCTGATGGAAGATGCAGTCTTGGGGGTGTGGTGCTTCTCACCAGTCATGCTGTTGTAGAGAATCAGGATGATCTCAAGTTCTAGGCCAGCTACATAGTGAGACCCTGTCTCAAAACAAAACAAAAGGAATGTAACCATCAGCCAACAGCCACCCAGGGTTTGCCCCCGACAAATTGTCTCTCAGATCTTCCAACCTCACTTAGGTGTCAGCCCATTTTGCTGTTTCACTGTCCCAACTCTGGTTATAGATGCCACAGACTATCGGGGCTAGAAAAAGGAAGTGAATGAAAACAGTAGATTGAAGAAAAAAATGTTTATCTTGTCAGGCATGGTGGCACATGCCTTTAATCCCAGCACTCATTTGGAAGCAGAGGCAAGATGATCTCTATGAGTTCGAGGCCAGCCTGCTCCAGGACAGCCAGGGCCATATATCTATATCTATATCTATCTATCTCAAGAGAGAGAGAGAGAGAGAGAGAGAGAGAGAGAGAGAGAGAGAGAGAGAGAGAAAGAGAGAGAGAGAAAGAGAGAGAAAGAGAGGAGAGAGGGAGGAGAGGAGAAACAGAAGAGGAGAGGAGAAACAGAAGAGAGGAGAGAGGGAGGGACAGAGGGATGAGGGAGAGGGAGGAGAGAGAGATCTTAAAATCTGGCTCCTATACTCCCAGCACTGAGGAGGTGAAGGCAAGAGGACCAGGAGTTCCTTGACTATATTGAGAGCTTGAGGCCAGCCTGGGCTACATGAGACCTGGTCTCAAAGGGAAAGAAAGAAAGAGAAAGGCCAATGAGATGGCTCATTACTTCTTTTACAAGGCACTTGCCACCAAACCTGATGATCTGAATTCTATCTCCCGGGACCCACATAGTAGAAGGAAAGAACTAAATCCCACAAGTTGTCCTCTGGCCTCCACACATGAGCTATGGTACTCTTGTGTGTCTGTGCACATTCACACAGATAGATAGATGATAGGTAAGAGAGAGGGAGAGGGAGAGGGAGAGGGAGAGAAAGAGGCACATTGTAGCCACTGCAGTACTTCACTTTTCTGGATGGCTGACACTCTGTTGTCTAGATGGAATAATGGATTCATCTGTTGATAAGATGTTGGGTTTTCCATTTTTTGGCTGTTGTGAATGTTGCTGCTGTGGAAGCAGTACAGGACACAAGTCCCCGTGTTCAGTGATCTAGAGCAGAGCTAGAGTAAAACTGCTGGGTCCCATGGTAAGTCCAGGTTTGATTTTTACTGTTGATGATGTGCTTTGGGGGCTGTTGGTTTGTTTGTTTGTTTGTTTTTTGGTTGTGTTTGTTTGTTTGGTTGCTTGGTTTTGGTTTGGGGTTGGTAGTTTTGTTGTTGTTGTTGTTGTTGTTGTTGTTGTTGTTATGTTTGTTTTTTAAGTCAGGATCTGAAACTAAAATCATGGCTCAGTGGTTAGGAGCATTGGCCGACTTTTCAAAGGACCTGGGTGCAATTCCCAGCACCAAAAGGTGGCTCATCACTGTCAGTATCTCCAGCTCCAGAGGATCTGATGCCCTATTCTGGCTGCCAAAAGCATCAGGCACACATGTGGTGTACAGGCATACATGCAGGCAAAACACCCATACACAAAAAATAAAATAAAAATCTAAAAGACAGGGTCTCACACTGTAGCCCAGGCTAACCTCAGACTCATAGCTATCCTCCTGTCTCTGACTCCTGAAGGCTGCGATTGTAGGCGTATACCATCAAACCCAGCTCTTTGTAGTTTTTTTTTTTTTAATTTTTTAGGCCACTCTTTTTTTTTTTTTAATTTATTTATTTATTATGTATACAGTGTTCTGTTTGCATGTATCCTTGCAGGCCATAAGAGGGAGCCAGATCTCATTACAGATGGTTGTGAGCCACCATGTGGGTGCTGGGAATTGAACTCAGGACCTCTGGAAGAACAGCCAGTGTTCTTAGCCTCTGAGCCATCTCTCCAGCCCTCTTTGTAGTTTTTTGAAACACAGTCTTACTATGTAGCCCAGGTGGGCCTTGAATTTAGCAATCTCCTTGCCTCTGCCTCCCAAGTGCTGAAATTATAGGTGTTCACTAACACACTTGGAGTCTATGTTCAATTTTTCTTTTTTTTTTTTTTTTTTGGTTTTCGAGACAGGGTTTCTCTGTGTAGCTTTGCGCCTTTCCTGGAACTCACTTGGTAGTCCAGGCTGGCCTCGAACTCACAGAGATCCGCCTGCCTCTGCCTCCCGAGTGCTGGGATTAAAGGCGTGCGCCACCACCGCCCGGCTCAATTTTTCTTTTTTTGAGAAACCATATATACCAGTATCACACGAGTGTTCTAATTCTCCCCTTCCCCACCAATATTTGTTGTTTTAGAATTATTATTAGTGTATGTGCACACACGTTAGGGGCGCTCATATGCCAAGGCATATACGTGAAGGCCAGAATACAGCACTGTAGAGTTAATTCTTTCCTTTCACCTTCAGATGAGTTCCAGGGATTGAACTCAAGCTTGTATGGCAAGCGCCTTTCCCCACTGAACCATCTTGCTGTATCAACTTTTTAAATTTCTATTAATATCATCATTGCCATCCCAGAGGATGTAAAATGTTCCTTTTTTTTTTTTTTTTTTTTTTTGAGACAGGATCTTTCTATGTAGTCCTGGCTGTCCTGGAACTTGCTATGTAGACCAGGCTAGCCTCAAAGTCACAGAGATAACCCCTACTGCTGCCTTCCAAGTGCTGGAATTAAAGGTGTGCACCACACCTGGCCTAAAATGTTCCTTTGTAAAGTTAGAACATTTTCCAGCTGTGCAGAATCCTGCAAGTTAATCCTGTACACGTGGGACGAAATACCTTGGTGGGCCCTGCCTAGTGTGTGAACCTCAGTTTATCACCCCGGGTTTAGACAGACAGCCACTCAGCCGTGGGAACTGACGTGGATGCTTGCCTTGTCCCACACTGCCAACTGCCGTCATGCAGTGACGTCTCGGTAGCTCACTGCTTCCATCACCCCCAGCTCTATACCAGCAGGGATGTGGATGAGCTCCTAGCAGAAACCCAGAAGGCGCAAGACCTCCTCAGCCAGGTGCGAGCCCTGGGCCAGAGCAGCCCATGTGAGGAGCTGGCCTGCATGATCCAGAAAGTAGGTGGCACTCTGCTATTGATGTCCGGGCTTGCCTTTCCACTGCTGATACATTAGCTGTAGGAAGTAACCTCTCAGGGCCTCAGTGTTTCACTTTGAAACGGTGCATGAAAGGAGGTGGGCCTGGTCACGGCTTCCTCAGTGACGTAGTGTGCTGGTCTCTTGAGTTTCCAGAAACCTTGTGATCTAAGCCCATGGACAAATGACTTGTCATCTTGGATCTTGGGCGAGGGGGAGAGGTGGACACCTGGAAGAGAAGCAGGTTGCTGGAGACCTTGTCCTGTCCCCTGAAAATTCAGAAAATCCTCAGAGAATTCCCTTCAACCCACCTACTAATGTTTTTAAAAGCTCCACATGGAAGGGAGGGGTGAATGGGGAAGAACTTCCCAGCTTTAAAATGTGATTGTGTAATGAGAGTTTTTAAATTGCACGTAGATCTCTACAGAGATTGTGAAAGGCCCATTCACAAGTCTCTTGCCTAAACCTCCAAAGCATGAAGCTCCGCTCACAATCGAGTTCCCAGACTTGGACAAGACTTCTGCAGAATGGCTGAAAGTCAATGGTCTAAAAGGTATTAAGTCCCCAGAGAGGGCAGGACCCAGGTGGTTGACTAGACTTGGAACCTTGGAGGCCTCCCAGGCAATGCCTCAAAGCTAATGTGTTTTTCAGCCAAGAAGTTAAGCCTTTATCAGATTCTGGCACCAAACGCCTTCAGTACTGTGGAAGAATTTGTGCCTATTCTCCAGAAAACAGTGTCAGCTACTATCCATGAGGTAATTCCAGGTCAAGCTTCTCTCCAGTCCTCTGCAGGAGTGCTCCCCTACACTACTTCCCACCTTATGTTACATTTGGGCAGTGGAAGCTTAGGGCATAGCCAGACAAGCATGGGTATGAGGGCCTGGGTGGGATTCAGGTTTTCCATCCAGGACTCCAGAATGCTTATAAAATCTAGGGTAATGAAGCTGGAGATGCATGGAGACCCAGTACCAAAGTATAAACACGCAAACCAAAAAATCTACCATAACTGCTGGTTTTCAAGGCTCTGAAAATGAGGGCTGGGATGAGAGCCCAGTCTATAGAATTTTTGCTTTGCCAGTGTGGGAGACCTGAGTTTGATCTTCAGCCCCATGTAGAAATGCCAAATGTAGTAGCACAGATACACAACTATGTAGTACAGGAGAGGTGGAGGGAGACAGGGGGCTCCCTGGGGCTCACTGGCAAACCAACCTGTCCTACTTGGTGAGCTCCAGGTTCAGTGAGAGTGTCTCAAAGAAGGTGAGTGGGATTCCTATGGAAGGTACCAGAGATTGTCTTTGATACCGTGGTCATCTCCTCCATGAATATTGTCCTCCACTCCACTCAAATAGGCCAGACTTGTTTTCTTGCTGTCCTTACTGCCTTGTATACATTTGTACAAGGGCTGTTGCGGCATATTCCTGCATGTAGAGCCCTACATAGTGTGGGCCATTTAAAAGACTCTCTTCTCTGATCCTATGTCCCCCAGGTCTAGTACAAGTAAACAGTCAATGAATGTTGCCTGGATTGCTGAGTCATAGGCAAGTGGAAGGAAAGTTGGAAAGAAGGACGAGAATGATGTGTATTTGGATGAATGGAAATGCTGGCAAATATTCACAGAAAAGTGGATCACTAGATGGATGAATGGATGAAAGGCTGAATGGATGGATGGATAAATGGGTAGATGAATTGGCAAGTAGAAATATTGATGAATGAATGGAAGTGTAGATGGGTGGATTATGAATGGATATATGGATAGAAGCATGAACAGATAAATGGGCAGATGGTGGATGAATGGATAGATGGATGGATGAATGAGTAGGAATGTAAGTAGGTAGATGGTTGGAAACTGGAACAGATGGAAGGATGGAAGGGGAAAATGGGAAGATGGATTAGCAGGAAGGAATAAAGGAAATACAAAGGGTGAAATAAAAATTCAAGGATAGAAAGATGGCAAAGTGGAAGAATGAGACAAGAGGTCACTAGGAAGATGATTGGAAAGATGGAAGGCTGAAAGGAAAAGGGGAGATGTGGATGGTGGACAAAACTAGCAGTGCAAAAATGACTAACCTAAATGCATGAAGCCACAGGTAAAAGGGACGACTTGACCAAATAGGGTAACAAAAGGTACTGAGTATCTATAAAACCTGTCTGGATTCCCAAGTGCAAGAAACATAGCCGGTATGGGTTTTTGTTTGTTTGTTTTTGTTTTTTGAGACAGGGTCTCAAAAACCTGTGTAGCCTAGCTAGCCTGGAACATGCTTTGTCTGCCTGCCTCTGCCTCCTGAGTGCTGGGATTAAAGGCATGTGCCACCATTCCTAGCTGCCAGTAGGTTTTAATATCTCTGATTCTTCTCTGTGTTACCACAACACTTGAACCATGCCTTAGTGGCTTTGATGTTCAGAAGATCCCCTAGGAAGGCTTCTGACTTGCTGTCAGGCCTGGCTTATTCAGGGACCCTTCTCCTGAAGGTTTCACACAAGGCCAAGTGGTGGTATGTGTACGTGTAGGTAGGGAAATCTGACTCCAGATGAGCTCAGAACTTGTTTCTCTCATGCATATGAGCCAGAGAGCCCAGCGCCCAATTTAAATGTAATATTTCCCATTCATGCCTCTGTTTACCCATTCTCCATTCTACCCATGTCTGAGTGCAGAAAGCAATGATACAGTTTGAATGGCATGATGGGACAGTGAAGAATATCCATGTCGAACCACCCTTCCTCTATGAGTACCAGGTCAGTAATGGGTCCAATCCATTAGAATGTAAGTTGCAGGAAGGTGCCTTAGGACATATAGACAACAAGCCATTGATCCAATCCCCTGTGTATTTCTATGGGCACCTCCCTATATGGGACATAGATGTCACAAACAAGTCTCAGGTCTTTTGGGGTGATACCTGCCTGCCCCTCATTTGAAGGAAATACTTGGGTTCTTCCTTTTCTAGTTTTGTGATGGACTAGCATGATGGACTTGCACCTGACCTAGCAAAATGTTTATACTGCCTGTATGTACCATTTCTGGAAGCTGTCTGGAGTACCTCCCCCCTCACAGCCCGAGGCTTTCATGGCCACCCTGGGCACACTCACTCATGGCAGCCCATGCTTTTACAGAAGCAGCTTGGGCAAGCTGTACAGATGTACGAGAAGCGACTTGAGTGGCTCTCCCTGGCCAGCAGGAGAATCTGGGGCACTGTCTGCGAAAGGAGGTACTGATCCTGCCGAGTCTACTCCTGTTCCTTGTGGGGTCTGGTGTGTGGCCCATTGTCTATCCAACTCATCATTCCCCCCAGAGCCGTCATCACCCACATCAGCCGTCATCGTCGTATCTCAAGATTCTTTCCGTTAGAAGCAACAGAGAAATGGGCATGGTGGTACACACCTGTGATCCCAGCTCCTGGAAGGTTGAGGCAAGGCATTAAGGATGTGAGGCTAGCCTGGGTTACATGGTTAAGACCCTGCCACACACACACACACACACACACACACACACACACACACACACACACACACACACACACACAAACGAATAACTGATGTTCAAAGTGAGCTTGAGACTTAGCAGTCTGATGAAGGTAATTTGGAATTCTAGCCCAGGCTTGGTAGCCCGGTGGCTGCATCCAGAGGGTCAGTCTTGTCAAGAATCCCCCAGCTCCGCTTTCCTCTCTGTGGGTTTTGTTTTCAGATAGGGTTTTCCCTGCAGGTGGCAATACAGCCAGGGATCCACTTCCTACCAGATTTGCATTTCCAGGACTTAAGCATCCATGGGTCATCAAACTAGCCAGGGAAACGTGATATTCTGAATTCCCAGTCAAATGCCCACTGCTGAAGCATGGTGTGTGCCATCTCCACCCAACTCACACAAATTGATAAGAGTGCTGTCCCAAGGAGAAATGAGGATGCCATTGACAGAAGAGGGAATGGATGCTGAACTGGGTGGTACATGTGTGTATGGGGGGTATCCCAACATACCTTATTTGCTGCATTGTAATTGACTGTAAGGAATCTTTTTGCAAATATGTTGTAGTGACGCACCAAAGGGAAGAGAGGTCTTCTGACTTGAAAAATTACCACATGCAGTCCTCAGCACTTAAACCACCTTCACTACATTCCACTAAAGACAGAAGGTCCCACAATACCCAGAGATGACTATAAGCCTACTTGTGTTGGTCTCAGACCACAGAGATTCTTGGCCATCTATGAGTCTGGCACACAAAATCCGCCTGGAAAAATCTTTAAATAGTAAAATGGAATGGAACAAACATTATCTGAGAGATTCAGGTTGCCTCTTGAAGCTTGTGTTTCTCTTTAGGGTTGTTATACTGCTGGATGTCTCGGTGACCAATTCCATGTACATTATTCATATCCAGCACTCCCTGCGAATGCTGCTAGAGGAGCAGCTGTCCAACAAAGACCACTTCAACATCATCGCGTAAGTCCCCGGAGTTCCCCATGGGTGTCGGGGAAGAAGCTGTGTGTGGATGCCACCACCAGGCTGAGGCTTTGGGCGAATAGCGGGACCACAGACAGTGATGTTATGAGGGCCCAGCCTCTTAGGATGCCCATCAGTTTATCTGATTTGGGGGATCTTGTTTGGGGTCTTGAATAATTGAATGGCTGCAGGACTATCCCACTGGGGCAAAGGTTGTAAGTGGCCCCAAAACACATGATCGGCCAGGGTGATGTAATTCAGCCCATTGCCCCATTTGGCTTTCAAGCTAGTAAACACAGCAGAGAAAAGAGAGGGACCCAGCCATGCCCTGGTCTTAATCTTAGCCTGGTTCTAACAAGCATTGCAAGTACTTGGTACTCCAATTCTAAATTAAATTTAATTTTAATCTATAAATAAATAGTATACAAAATTTGAAGCTATATATAGCTTAAGCTATAGTTTTAAAACTATGTATCATTTTAAAATTATATAATATGTAGTTTCTAAAATATGTATTCATTTAATTATATGTTATATTTTATATGCCATATAGATAACTTTTAAAATTTGCAAATTATATATAGTTTTAAATTGCATATACTATCATGGTGACCTTTAATCTCAGCACTTAAGAGGAAGAGGCAAGAGAATCTCTGTGAGTTCAAGGCCAGCCTGGTCTACATAGTGAGTTCCAGAACAGCCAGGACTACATAGAGAGACCCTGTCTCAAAACAAAAACAAATTTTATATGTTATATGTAATTATATATCATATGTAGAGGTTATTAAATTTAAATATGATACTAAATGTCAGTTGTGGTAGCACAAACCTGAAACCCCAGCATTTGGAAGACGAGGTATGGTAGTTCATGCCTGTAATCACAACGTTTGGGAGCTACAGTTTCAGGCCAGCCTGGGCTGCATTGTAAATACCAGGCCAGCCATTGATGCATAGCATGACCCTGTTTCAAAAACAGAAAACACACGTTTTTTTTAAATTGCATACAGTTTTAACTAGAGAAGGCCTAAAAGTCAGCAGTTAGTACTAAATAATAGGCCAGAGCCTAATCTTTCCTTAATAAATTCTAATGAAAAATGCTTAGGGCAACGTTTTCCTTTTTTATTATCACGCACCAATTACACAAAAATAATGGGCTCTATTATGATGTTGTCATGTATGTATATGGTGTACCTCTATATACTCACCCCTATTGTCCCCTCTTATCCTCCCTTCCCCCTCTCCCTTGCTTCCTTCCTTGGAGAAACATTTTATACAATGTTTTCATCCGTTTACCCACCTATCAATTCAACAAGGTTTCATTGAGAACCTGCTGTGTGCAAGGCAGTATACTGGCACTGGGATCCAGAAAAGAATGTACACACACACACACAGTCCTTAGGGAACTTAAGGCCTAGTAGGGAAGACCCGTTAAGAATTAAGTGCTGGGCTGGAGAGATGGCTCAGCAGTTAAGAGCACTGGCTGCTCTTTCAAAGGTCCCGAGTTCAATTCCCAGCAACCACATGGTGGCTCACAACCATCCATAATGAGACCTGGCACCCTCTTCTGACCTGCAAGCATATTTGTAGGCAGAACACTGTATACATAATAAATAAATCTTGGAGAAAAAAAAAGAATTAAGTGCTGTTGAGTGCTTCCTGATGAATAGGCAGAAGGTTTCATGGACCAGGAAGGGTAGAAGGCAGACTCAGCCCGTGCTGACTGGGCCCAGGAAAGTTATGAAGGCTTCATGGAGGAAGGACCTCTTGAGCTGGGTCTTGGTGGATGGATAAGGTTTGCCCCGCTCATAGGGATGGTATGCACTAAGGAAGGGGCACCCCAGGCAGCGGGAAATGTGAGGCACGATGGAATTTTAAGGGACTGTGGAGTAGTTCCGTGAAGATATACAGACAAGAGGCTTTGCCGGATGATGGAGACTTTATACAGGGCCATGTTCAGGAGTTTTAAGCAAGGTGATATAACATGATCAGGTTTTCATCCTCAAATGCTGAAGCAGCCGTGTGAAGGATGAACTGAGGGGGCATAACCCCAGAGGGAAGAAGACCAGTGGGCTTCTGCTGTGGTCCTCACGCCACACTCAAGCTAATGGAGGGAGAAGGGAAGACGGGGAAGCAAGACAGAGCACTGGGGAGATGCAAGCTGCAGAGAGAGGAGCCGTTTGCTGTAGGGAATGAAGGAAGGATGGGGAGATGATGGCCCAGGCAGAGCAGAGGTGGCTTCAGCCAGGCGTCGTGACACACCAGTGATCCCAGCACTCAGGACGCAAAGGCAGTTTTAAACACGGCAAGTTTGAGTGTCTCGAAAGTTTGGAGATCTCAAAAGGTGTCCTGGCAGGGGCTCCAGGAAGGAGTCTGAGCAGAGAAGCATGGGTTCGGAGCCACTGGTGCCCAGTTATAAGGTTGGAACAGCGTTTCCCCTGTAGGAAGGAGGAAAGACAGAGAATACTGAGGAAGCACCGGGATTTCACCCAGGAAGACAGTGACCAAAGAAGACAGGAAGGGAAGCCAGAACGTGGGAGGCAAACAGCAGAGATTGGTGTTGGGGAGGCAGAGGGAAGATGTGGTAGAGCACTTGCCTAGCATGCTCAGCACCTACCTGCACTGCAGGGAAAATGTCCTCAGCAAGTCCAAAGGAGCAGGAGCAAGCAGGTTATGCATCACACATGTTGAATAACTCCATTTCTATAAATGTATCTATGCATTCTAATGAAAAAACAGAACAAAGAGTTAAAATGTCTTGTTTCTTTGTATATTTTGGATTTCTAACCCAAGTGCCATAGAAGGTTTGGGAACTGACTCCTAGAGACACCCGCTACAGATGTCAGGAAGAAGACAAGAGGACCTTCTCAGGCAGAAGCATGAGAGCGATGGGCTGAAGAGGGAGCAGTGGTGGAGGGGTGGTGGTGCAGTGGTGGAGCAGGGGTGGAGCAGTGGTGGAGCAGTGGTAATGCAGTGGTGGAGCAGTGATGGTGCAATGGTGAAGCAGTAGTAATACAGTGGTGGAGCAGTTGTGATGCAGTGGTGGAGCAGTTGTGATGCAGTGGTGGAGCAGTGGTAATGCAGTGGTGGAGCAGTGGTGGTACAGTGGTGGAGCAGTGGTAATGCAGTGGGGTGCAGTGGTGGTGCGGTGATGGAGGGGTGGTGGAGCAATGGTGGTGCGGTGATGGAGGGGTGGTGAAGCAGTGATGGTGCAGTGGTAATGCAGTTGTGAAGCAGTGGTGGAGCAGTGGTAATGCAGTGATGGAGCAGTGGTGGTGCAGTGGTGGAGCAGTGGTAAATGCAGTGGTAAATGCAGTGGTGGAGCAGTGGTGGTGCAGTAGTGGAGCAGTGGTGGTGCAGTGGTGGTGCAGTGGTGGTGCAGTGGTGGTGCAGTGGTGGTGCAGTGGGGGTGCAGTGGTGGAGCAGTGGTGGAGCAGTGGTAATGCAGTGATGGAGCAGTGGTGGTGCAGTGGTGGAGCAGTGGTAAATGCAGTGGTAAATGCAGTGGTAAATGCAGTGGTGGTGCAGTGGTGGTGCTTTTCCAGGGAGCTTGTCCAGCATGTCAAAAGGAAGAGAGAGAAGTTCCTAGGAGACAGAGTAGTGGCTCCTGGCTGTGCGGGGTGATGGGAAAGAGGGGCATGGAGTGTGTCTGCTAAGGAAGAGTTTTACGGGATTCTCAGAAGAGACCATCACAGAGGAGGCCTAGGTTCAGCAAGAGAGATCCATCTTGGCCCAGAGAAAGGTACACTGTTACCCATAAAGGGGGTACATTCTCCTCTTGAGAATCTTAAATTTTGACTTATAAAGACAATGAGATCACGCATATTTATAGAAAAAGACCATAGTTCAGCCTTAGAAGGAAAGGGGATCCTGGGCTCCAAGAGTCTTAGAGAAACAATGAATTGCTCCCCGTGGGGACAGAGAAGTTCCTGCAGAGGAGGGAGATGTCAGAGTATGAGAGGGCAGCAGCCAAAGCTGGCCCGCGCTCTGTCCCTGCTTGAGAATCCTGGCGCTGTCCCACACGGAGTTTGCTTCACTGTGGTATGATGAACAAGAAAATTTTGTGAGCCAGCAACATTCCAACATTTTGGGGGTTGTTGTCAGAATTTCATCTCCCTAAAGGCCAGTAAAGCCCAAAGAATGGGGACTCAAATTGGACGTATGTCCTAAAAACAAGCCCCTTTTTCTTCCTTAAAGGTTTGGAAGTACAATTGAGAGCTGGAGGCCTGAGATGGTTCCTGTGAGCCATGACAACTTACAGAACGCCTGGCGGTAGGTGGTGGAGGCAGAGCCCTGCTGCTGCTGTGTCTTAGCTGCCCGGTGGCATCGTCTTCCACTCCCCTTCTCTACCTGGATGTAGCCCTCTGCAGGCCGCCCCCCAGCCAAAGGCAGACGTCAGAAAAGAACTTTCCTTTCACTGTCCTTGGGACCTCAAGGCCTTGTGTCCCTGCCTCCCCAGGTGGGCTCTGGGCCTCCGGTGTCAAGGAAGCAGAAATGTCCTCAGCGCCCTGCGGAAGGCCATAGAAGTGGACTTCAAGGACAAAGACAAACATGAGTCTCAGGGCATCTACCTCTTCACAGGGGGTGTTCCTGACCAAGATGTGGTGAGTAGCCTCCATCCTGGACATCTGTTGTCTTTTTTGTTGGTGAGATGGGGTCTGGCCTGGAACTTGCTTATGTAAACCAGGCTGGCTTCAAAGTTACAAAGTCCACCTGCCTCTGCCTCCCAAGTGCTGGGATTAAAGGCGTGCCCACCACATTCTTCCTTCTATTGTCTTTTTTTTTTCTTTCTTTCTGCAGGGTTGAGTGTAGACTTCAGGCCCTTGCTTTTGCTAGGCAAACATTCTACCACTGAGCCACACCTCCCAACCCAGCACGAGTGTCTAAACTACGCCTACTCATACTGTAACACAGACAAGCATCTAGGGATACGGTCATGACACTGCTCGTGGCTCAGCAGGTCTCAGCTGGGGACTGAGAGTCTGACAAGCTCCAAGCATGTCCATGCTGCTGCTTACAGACCTGAGTTGGCAGGAGCAGGCTTTCAGGCCCAAATCCTTGCCGTACCCTGTTAAAACGTGAGAAGGAATGGTGTCTCGGGCTCATGTCTTTTTGTCTTTGCACACAGCACTGGACCAAGCACACGGTAGGCCTCAGGAAAGATGACTGGGGGGCTGGAAAGTTGGCTCAGTAGTTAAGAGCTTCTGCTACTTCTGTAGAAGACCCAAGTTCAATTCCTGGTACCCATGTCAGGTGGCTCACAACTGTTGGCAAACTCCAACTTCAGAAGATCTATTGTCCTCTAGTGGCCTCCGTGGGAACCTGTGCTCACCTGCATATACCCCAACACACGCACACACACATACACACCACGACACACACAATCAGAAATGTTCTTTTAGAGAAAGGTGACCAGCTGAGCTGTTGGGAGAGCAGCAGCTTACAGGCCCTAGGGTGTGGACCTCCTGCCTCTCTTCCCCACAGTCCACGCTCAGCGCCTATGTGGCAGAGGCCTGTGGAGGTTGCGACCTCCGTCTGAACGTTTGTCTGTTCTACGTGGGTGAACCACAACTGGACACCACGCCCCCCGCCTGCTATGCCAGCCGTACGGACACAGCTACCGCCTACAAAGAGATCACCCGGGCTGCCCGAGGTCGCCTCCACTGGTTTGGAGAAACAGGTGTGTGGGCGTTTCCTGGTCCCTTGCCCCTTTCTTTCCAGACAGCGTCTCAGTACTGGTTCCCCTTGACATTGAAACAGTCCCAAGAAACAACATGTGAAGTTCATATTTATTGATGGCTCAGCTGTTAAGAGCCCTGGCTGCTGCTCTTCCAGAGGACCCAGGTTTGAGTACCAGTGCCCACATGGTCATTCACAACCGTCTGTAACTCCAGCGCCAGGAGATCCAATACCTTTTTCTGGCCTTCCAGGGCATCTGTCACTAATATGGTGCACAGACACACATGCAGGCAAAGCATCCATGCCTATAAAATAATAAAACATTCTAAAAAATCAAATGGAGGGCAGAGCCATGGCTCAGTGGGTAAAGGGGCTTGCCCTCAAGCTTGAGTTCAACCCTTGGATCAATCACACATGGTGGAAGAAGGAAAACAGACCACCACACATGGTTCTCTGACCTTAACACACATGTTATGACATGTACATGTATGCGTGTGTGCACATATAAATAATGTAAATTAAAGTTAGAAACTAAGGGTATTGCCCAGTGGTCAAGGGCACACTTAGCATTCACAGGCCCTGGGGTCCATCCCCAGTCCTCAAAAAGCAAAAAAAAAAAACAATGTTAACCAGTATTCTGGAAGTGACAAGCGATGGTGGGTGTACAATAACATGAATGTACTTAGCGCCACTGAACTGTACAGTTAAAATGACTGAGCAAATGGTGCAGCTCAGTGATGGGGTTGGTCCCTTGTCTGCCCAGGTTCAAGACCCAACCACACCAAAAGTAAAATGGTGAAGTTTACGTTGGGTGTATTTTACTGCAAATTTTTAAAAGGTAAAGCCTTAAAATACTGTAGAAATCAACACTGAGGGTGACCTCAGCGGTAGAATGCTTACCTAGCATGCATAAAGCCCTGTGATAGATGCCCCACATTGATATGTGAGGGTTATATATGTGTGTATGTGTATAATATCACACTCATGCATACACACACATAAGATCTAGACCACATTGTAAAGATCCCTTAGACTTATAGTTCCCAAAGTGTGGTATATTTACAAGTAACCCATAAATATCTGTAGATGGTACATGAAGCAAGGTTGTGCCCCCCCTCTCTCTACATATATATATGTATGTATTATCATAACTATTATGTACTATTATAAATATATAACTATATAAATACTATATACTATTATAATACATATATGTATTATCATAACTACTGCACACACTGTATATATATGTATATATGTATATACACACTGTATATATATATGTATATATATATATACAGTGTGTGCAATAGTTATGATAATAACATGCTTTTTTAGCATTTTAGAAAAATGCTGACTTCACTTTGTTGGCTATGACAAATTTTCATTTTTAAAGCACTCTTAAAAACACAAGAAGTAAATGAAATTAAAATATATAAAATAAGTGATGACTGAGATGATATGAGTATGCAAAAATCATTACAATAATGTGGGAGGGACTGAGCCTAGGACACACTAATTCCTTGCAAGCTCTCTGAATCCGAGGAAGTGACTTCCAGAGGCAGGACACGCCTGCGGTCGGAGCTCTGGAGCAGTTTGCAGACCTTTCTTTCTGTGAACTTCCTGGGTGTGTTCACTGACATTCCCAGCGATGATCACTAGTGATAGCACATGCAGAACAGCTGTGAGATGGCAGACACAGCTGAAGCATCTTACGTGCACTATATAACTTGACCTTCACCATAACTCCGTGGAGGAGGTGACTGTTTGCCCTGTTCAGCAGATGAGTAGCTGAGCCACAGCCTAAAGGACAGAAGCTGAACCCAGGCAAGTCAGCGTTAATGCCCAGTGTACTTGCCGAATACTAGAGTCCTGCTCAAGAGCAACATTGGAATGTTCACTACTGTAATTAGTCACTGTAAATAATTACCATATAGGTCATTATCTCCCATTACATAGAGTACCAAAAACCTTTGCACCTAACTTGACCTTCCTGTGAGTGCCAGGACACTGAGTCCCATGGCCAGTTACACTGTGGTGATATTGTGTCCCCCAATATATCGTGCACCCCAATACATTTATCTGGGGTCAAAGGAGAGAACAGCCACTAGACAGACATAGAGGCCAGAAAATGGTGGCACTCACACCTTTAATCCTAGCCTTATGGAGGCAGAGATCCATCTGGATCTCTGTGAGTTTAAAGCCAAGCATGGTGACTCATGCCTTTAATCCCAGGAAGTGATGGCAGAAAGCAGAAAGGTATATAAAGTGAGAAAATCAGGAACTAGGGCATGTTAAGCTTTTAGGCTTTTGAGCAGCAGTTCAGCTGAGATTCATTCTGGGTGAGGACTCAGAGGCTTCCAGTCTGAGGAAACAGAATCAGCTGAGGAATTGGCGAGGTGAGGCTCTGGCTTGTTCTGTTTCTCTGATCTTCCAGCATTCACCCCAATAACTGGCCTTGGGTTTGCTTTTATTAATAAGACCTTTAAAGATTCGTGCTACATCACACTCTTGGTGACAACATACCATTGGATGATACAGGGTTGGAGCTGGTTAGCAGTCCACTGTGGTCCCATCCTGCCCCTTGGGCTTGTCACTTCCCCATGGCCTTCATGCATGCAGATGTTGACACTTGCCCAGATCCACACCCTCCCCTATTGCTCAAGATGTGCTTTTGTTTCCAGGTATTTATGAGAGTGATGACATCAGTGCCATCATATCCGAGATAGAAAAAGCCCTCACCTACTCCCAAAAGGTATGCCCTGGGCTCAGGTTTAATATATCTGTGGTACCTGTGTTTAACTGCCATGGCCGCCGCAACAAAATGCTACAAGCTAGAACTCTGAAATCAAGGTAGCAGCAGGGCCATGTTCCTTTGGTAGGCTGTAAGTAGAGGTCTTTATTATTGCCTCCCTTTTGTTTTGTTGAAAAACAAGTGTGTTGGATGCTTATTATAAATGGCATGGAAGGCTTTTAAGACTATTACAATAAGGGAGACAGTTCAAACACAAAACCCCAAACACAGCAGAAATAGCTGGGGATTTGTGGCCAGGAGCAGTCAATGGGTGGAAAATCTCCAAGAGGGAGCTGATTAGGCTTCAAGGGTTCAGAGGTTCTTGTTAAAGGCAGTCCAAAGACCTAGAACTCAAGCAGGGGTGATATGGATATCAAGGGGAGAGTGGCCTTGTTGAACTCACTGAGAAAAGTCTTTGCTAAAACTCAGCTGAGATGGCCAAAGTGGAGGCCTAGTCAAGAAGATGTCTCTAAAATTTGGTCCACGTTTGGACATTCCTCAGCTGTATAAACGTAATTCCAACCTATGTTTCTGTCTGCACATGGCTGTCTGCTGCCCTCTGTGTGTTGGTCTTTTCTCTCACAAGAACACTAGTCATATTAAATGAAAAGGATCAACCTACTCCAATATGACATCATCTTGACTTACATTTTAATTCCAGCTACAGAGACATTATTTTTAAGGTCACATTTGCAGTTACCAGTTGCAGTGTATCTTAGGAGACACAAATCAGCTCACACCAGCTTCTCTCTCCATGTCTAGATCCACTGACAGCCAAGGTGGAACACTGTTTTCTGTCTTTCATTGGATTTTGATCTATATGCTATAGAGTCTGGCCTCTTTTGAGTTCCTTCAACACACCAAGTCCCTTCCTAATCTCAGTCTGTGTGTGTGTGTGTGTGTGTGTGTGTGTGTGTGTGTGTGTGTGTGTGTGTGTGTTTTCAAGACAGGGTTCTCTGTGTAACAGCCTTTGCTGTCCTGAAACTTGCTTTGTAGACCAGGGATCCTCCTGCCTTTGCCTTCCAAGTGCTGGGATTAAAGGCATGCACCACCACCACCACCACCACCACCACCACCACCACCACCAGGTCCTAATCTCAGTCTTTGCAACTGCTGTATTCTCTGCCTGCTATTCCTTCCTAGATCATCCATGGCCTGCACTTTGTTACTCAAAATTCATTTAAATACCACTTCCCCAAAGGAGATTTGAGTAGTACAGGTGAAATTAGAAAGATGGGAAGGGACCAAATCATGCCAGGGCATGAGTGGGAATAAGGAAACAGACAGGAGAATATTTAAAGATGAATTAACCAAATTTACAGCTGATGGAACATACAGGATGAAGGACAAGAAGAAACCTAAAGTAGTCCCAAGGTTTTCTCTAGGGAAACTAGCGGACAGTAGTGTCATTGATCAACTGAAAGTGAATGTAGGAACAGTCTGTGGTGGGTGGATATGGTGGGGGTAAGGCTGAGAGAAAGGTGGCCTTGCCTATGAGGTAACAAATGAGGATGGCCTGAAGGCAGATGGAAAAAGATAAGGGGTAGAGATAGAGATTTGTAGGCAGAGCTTTTTGTCAGGACCACCAACTCCACAATAACCAACACAGAAACTTCTTATTAATTATAAATGCTCAGCCAATATCTTAGGCTTGTTCTTAACTAGCTCTTACAACTTAAATTAACCCATATTTCTTATCTACACTCTACCATGTGGTGGTACCGTTTTTCAGCATGGCATGTTCATCTCCTGATTACTCTGCATCTGGCTGGCAATTCCACCCTCCTCTTCTCAGTGTTCTTTCAGTTTGGCTTTCCTGCCTAACCTCTTCCTGTCTAGCTATTGGCCAGTCAGCTCTTTGTTAACAATGAAAACAACACATCTTCACAGTGTACAAAAGGATTATTCCACAGTATTTCCACCTTTTTGTCTAATTAAAAAGGAGTGTTTTAACTTTAACATAGTAAAACTATATATAACAAAAACAGTTATCAAGTAAGAATTACAGTTCCAATATCCAGTTCATTTGTATTTGAAAAATTTAGAGAAAATACTCTATTATCTATCTTATCTTTATGAGTCTAAAGTTTTATATCTAATTTGCTTTTTATCATAACTAATGAAAACTATAAGTTTAACTATTTATTCTTTAACTCCATCAAAGACTCCAGAAGGATGTAATATTGCCTAATGACAAGGACACCTGGCTGCCTGGGCAGTCACCCAAAGCTCTTCTGTAACATTGAAGCATCCATCTTTGACCTATAGGCCTAACATATCTGACAGACATTTCTGAAAAGCAGGGCATATTGAAGGACTGTCCTACCTTTTTTTTGCAAAATTTGGCAGTCACACCCTGTTGCATCCTGCTGGTCCAGTTTGGACAGCATACTGTTAGTAGTCTAAGCAAGGGCAGTTTATTTGCCCAAATGGCTAGCCTTTTCCATAAAGAAAATAAACTCCATATGGAGTTTTTTCAATGCCCTTCATCTTCATTGAAATAGATTGGTGCTGCCAGGAGCAGACATATCTTACTGTCATGAAAAGCCTCAGGTTATTAGACATCTTAAATGCCATATTCTGTAGGTCTTTGAAGTGTTTGAACATCTGCCTATCTAAATATTATCTGTTTAACCTTGAAAACATAACTAATATGACTCTAAGTTTGATTATTATAGATAACTAACTACTAACTTGTATTTCTTAATTATACATTACATTTTTAAATGAGCTGCATGGGCCAGGTGCACACCTTTAATCCTAGCACTCGGGAGGCAGAGGCAGGTAGATCTCTGTGAGTTTGAGGCCAGCCTGGGCTACCGAGTGAGTTCCAGGAAAGGCGCAAAGCTACACGGAGAAACCCTGTCTCAAAAAATAAAAAAAAAAAAAAAAGCTGCAAAAAAAAAAAAGAGTGAGCTGCATAAGCACAAAACCCCAAACAAGAATAGAAACACACATACGGTATAACAAAAATAACTTTAAATTTGTATCAATAAACCAAAATCCATAACAATAGAAAATATTTGAGTTCAATAGTTGCTTTTTGGATTAAAGTAGATTCAATAATCTACCCTTTTGATTTTTATATTATAAAAATTTTATAAATTTTTTCCTTTGGAAAGAGATCTTTGAATTTAACTCCTTTGTTCAGCTTTTTCCCTGGCCATAACCAACACAAATTTATAACCAACCCCCCTTAAATGATGACAAACATCCATAACCTGTCTTTTGAGAATGTGGGTGTTATTTTCTCTAGACTGCTTCCTGTTGTCTGGGGAAGCTAGCATTTGGAAGGGACCCTGAGAATATTCAGGATAATAGTTAAGCCCTGGCTGGAGTAGTCAGTTAGGCTGGATCATCTCAACCAGAAGCACTGAAGCTGTTCTGGATGCAGAACTCTGAGGAAACTGCAACAGAGGCATTCTGAAATGTTGGCTCATCTGGGCCATCCATTTTCACTGGTGTCTTTCACTAGTCCCCTTGTTCTAAAAATACATAAACTTTCAAAGATAACATACATATCTGTATTAACCCAAGTATGGAATGTGTGGTGTGTACAAGTCAGTTAAAGATAAATTTTTGTTTTATGTTTGAGCAGGTAAAATATACATTACATGTCTTACAGGTTTATTTAGGTTGCTTTCTTCATGTCTGTAGCCAGAATTTTCAGGTGATTTTCCCCAATTAAACCTGATCATCTTCAACCTTGAACAAGTTCACAGTCTTTCTTTTTCTGTGGGAACAAAAGGACAACCTCTTCCCCAAAGCAACACATCTTTTGACTTTCATTTTGAGGTCGACAATTTTAAAATATATAGGTTGCTTTAATCCAGCAGTCTTCACAATCCAATGTCTCCAGCAGCTATCATTTGTTCATCAGCAATCAAAAAATTCAAAGACAGCTGGGTGGTGGTGGTGCACACCTTTAATCCCAGCACTCAATAGGCAGTATGAGTTTGAGGCCAGCCTGTCTACAGAGTGAGATCCAGGACAGGCTCCAAAACTACATGGAGAAACCCTGTCACAAAAAAACAAAAAAGAAAAAAAAGTTTAAAAAAAAAATCAAAGACAACACAATAACATACAGGATCCAGACTCCTCTTGTATTTTCCATCTTTACGTGGATTTTTTTCTTTTATATTACTTTACTACTTTTTTAAGCACTTTATTATTTTTAAACTATTCTTTTTGTATGGCTATCTATTCCCTTTTTCTTTTCTCTCTCAAGCCTATGTACATTTTTAAACACAATGTAACTCATTTAGAGTTTTTTTTTTTCTATCTAGATCTGTCTTTACTGCATACCTGTAATCTTTTCTGTCTTCACCACATGGCTTAGCTCATGGCATGCTGGCAGGGCTCATGCTGGTGGGGCTCGCATGGGCAACTCAAGCCCGCAGGCAGCAGTTGGGAGACATGTCTCTGTTTTGCAGCCAGCATGAGAGACACAAGACTGGGAAGCCACATTTACCTCTTTTTGTGTGTGTTTAGAACCTTTTTAAAGCTTTCTCAAGTCTTATGTGGATGTAGGTGCCCCAAGTTGGGTACCATTTGTAGATGGATTTTTTTGTCAGGACCACCAGCAGCTCCCCAATAACCGACACAGAAACTTATTATTAATTATACATACTCAGTCAATAGCTTAGGCTTGTTATTAACTAGCTCTTACAACTTAAATTATCTCATACTTCTTATCTACATTCTACCATGTGGTGGTAACTTTTTTCAGCATGGCGTGTTCATCTCCTGCTTCCTCTGTGTCTGGCTGGCAACTCCACGCTCTTCTTCCCAGTATTCTTTCAGTTTGGCTTTCCTGCCTAACCTCTTCCTGTCTAGCTATTGGCCAATCAGCTCTTTATTAACAATGAGAGAGCACATCTTCACAGTGTACAAAAGGATTATTCCACAGCAGAAATTTGGAGCCTAAGATAGACAGGGAGTTTGTAGGGCCCATATCCAAGCCAAGGGAAGAATCTGTGACATAGGTGAGGCTGAGAATCATGGTGGGGACACAGGTGAGGCTGAGCATCATGACTGAGGACATGGGTGATGCTGAGCATCATGGCTGGGACATGTTCTGGAACAGAGCAGCTGATTTTGGGGCAGAGAGAATGGGACAGAGAGCGGTCCAGTTCCCAAGGATCTGCTTCCAGATAACCTTCTTCCAGCGAGGCCCCTCTTTCTATAGTTTCTAGAACCTCTCAAAGTAGTGTAAAGGACCCAGCATTAAATACATGAGTCAGCAGGAGAGATTTCATATTCAAACTGTAAGAGCTGGGTATAAAATGATGTTAGCATATCTTCTTGGTCTGAAGGCTTGAGACCCCAAATGTGAATTTGCCTAGTGTCCAATACAATAAGAGCATCCTTATTCTTCATAAGCTTAATCCACAGCCCCAAACTGCATTCTCTGAGCAGAAAGAAGCATCAAGAGGATTCTGTCCTGCTGTGCATGTGTGTCTATCTACCCACAGTGGCTGGTGTGCTGCTAACCACCCAACCCCCTTTACAGTGTGCCCTCCTCGTGGCCTCCCTGAAGAACCATTCAGGAAAAGAACTGCAAAGTGCAGCCCTTCAGAAAGACAAGCCAAGGATGCTCAAGCAAAGTCCGTCCAAGAATCTCTGTCCTCCCAAGCCCACAGCCCCCTCGGTGGCCAGAATGGTTTGACTCCCTTCCCTAATAACACACAGAGGATTTGTTTCCAGTTTGTCTCCTTGTCTTTCCTAGATCTTAAAAGAACTGGGCCAAGCCCCAGAGCTAACACTGGTGGGGGCAGAGACCCGGGAGGGATGTCCCCTGGGGCCCACTGGGAAGAGGACCTGCCTCTTAGCTTAGAGGGGGCACCTATGGCTCTCCTACTCCCCTGTACTTTGATTATGCCTCAGCTTCATTCCATAGCCTCATTCTAGGATCTCTGTGGAACTGTACCCTCCTCCTCTGCATGTGGTAGCTCAACCTGAGGGTTTGTGGGGGAAAGAGTAAGTCGCTAATAGGACCTTGTTGCTGCAGACCAAGCTTAGTGGGGGTATGACAGGACTCCCAATCTCAACCTATGCCTGCTGGGGATTATCATCATTCATGGGCATCAAATGTGTCTTACGTAAAATGCTCGTTGCTCACCTAAGTGGTCAGAGGGCCTTCTAGAGGGGACACAGCTCAGCGCTGTGAGCAGAAGAGTCAGTGAACCCTGAAGGCTGCTGACTAGTGAACACACACACTTCAGAATGGGCAAGTCTATCCCAGGCATGTATAGCTTAACCATACACTGCACTTCCAAGGCATTCCAAAATCTCACTCAGAGAAGCCCAACATCCCAGGCTCATCCCCACCCCCTCTTAATATCTCCCAGTTCTGGGAGAACCCCAGCATCTCAGGGCTTTCCTTTAGTACCTTCAGTAGTTCATAGCTGACTCAGTATGAGGAGGGCTAGGCTGCACCATGGCTTCTATTGGGCCCTCCTGACAGGCTGAGCCCTCCCTGGAGTGATGACATTTAGGCCCTTTTCAGCACAAAAGGATCCCTTTGCTGCCCTGGTGCCTCTGCTGACATTATTAAACTGTTACTATGTTCTGTGTATGCCCAGTAAGGAAAGAATTCCTCTAAAACTGAGGGGCCCAAGAGGACATAGAAATGTCAGGTAGAATGGCAGATCTCTATGAGTTCAAGGCCAGACTGGTCAATACAGCAAGCTCCAGGCCAGCAAAGGCCTCAAAACTATGTCTTAAAACAACAACAAAATTAGAGCCTAGAAGTTACCTAAATGGTTGTTTGTCATGCTGGAGGCCCAGAAAATCTAGTCTAGTAGGAAGAGAATCAGGAAACTAGTAAAGAAGGTTCTGGCAAACACCCAATGCTCCACTGGTACTCTTTTATACTACATGTATGAAAGCGCACACTTAAACACCTTTTCACTCCCAAACCCAGAGCCCCCTGTGAAACCTGCCGCAGAAGTTGGGCCAAATGTGCCTGAGGTGCTAACTCCCTTCAATCCCTCCCTGGAAACATTCTTGACTGGCAGGTTGAGGTCAGGGTGACTGGGGAACTGCCTGCCACAGGCAGCAGGCCTCTGATGGGAAAGATGGCCTGTTTTCTAGAAAATTAAAGATGACCTGAATGGAGACAAGAGCCCCCAGCTAAAAGCTCTGAAGTGTCATCCCCTCAGTGGCAAAGCAAGCATCTCTTCAGGTAAGGAATGGCAGCGGAGAGGTGGGGGTGGAGGGTCAGCTCAGGTACCACTGAGGCATGAATTAATAATGAAAGTGACTAAATGATGATGACGCTTGACTGGCTGCCAGCCTATCAGCCGAGATGCTTCTCATAAGGCCTGTAGCCATCAGCCCTCAGCAGTCAGTCAGTTCCCTATTTGCTGATTTTACTGCCAGGGTTCAGTCCAAAAGGGGCTCATCAAGAGAAGCCACAGCTATTTTTAATGAAAGTACTCACTTCATAAACCTGAGACTATGTATCTTTGTTTTGAAGAAAAAGATGTTTAGCACTGTGGTTCAGGGCAGCAAGCCCAGGAATCTCCACTCTGTTTCTTATTAGCCCATCTGTAACCTGGGGGACCATGAGGAGATGGCACAGGCACACTAAGCATTAACACTGTGTCCAGGAGCTATCAGGACCTGGGGAGAGTAACTCCAGCTATTACTGGTCCAGACGAGGGCAAGGAACCCGAGATGGGAGCGAGGAGCCTGAGAATGCCATGCCCAGGGTAGATCTTAGCTGAAATAGAGAGAGCCAAGCAACATGGCTTTATCAGTAGGACCTACAGAGTAGCCCAACCAAAACTCAACTGTCTTCCAGCTGCAGTCCATCCTGGGAAAGAGGGGATGATGGAACAGAGGAGGAAGGCCAAGCCCGGGGCAGAAGATACAGCTCTCTCTGTGTTCTGCACAGACTCGGGGAATAGTGTGGGTAAGCTAGAGCTCCTGGCCCTGGGCAACCTGGTGAGGACAGTAGCCCGTCTATCTCCTTCAGGACTCAGCCTCTGGAGTAGGCCTGTCCTTAAACAGCTCAGTTCTCCCAGCCAAAGAAATGGACATGTGCAGATGGGCTCTCTCATATGCCTTCCGGGAGAGGCAGTTTCCTGAGCCCTGAGGACAGTTAGGAGAGGAATAAAGATTTCCCTTGGCCTGCCATTGGGTCGCTATGAAATGGTACCTATATTAGTTACTTTTCTTCTTCATATAACAAAATACAAACAAAAGCAGCTAAAGGAAGACTGTATTTGGGCTCACGATTTGATGAGCTTTAGTCCATCCTGATGGAAAGTTGTGGAGGGAGACGCTCTCAGCTGTGCCAACAGGGACACAAGGTGGCTGTGTCTACAATCAGGAAGCATAGAAAACTGAATGCTGGTATTTACCCCTTTTTCCCCATTTATTCTGACCATTGTTATTGCAGCCCATGCAATGGTGCTGCCCACATTCAGAGCGGCTCTCCCCTCCTCAGTCAAATCTCTCGGAAGTTCCCTCAAAGATACATGCAGAGGCATGTCTTCTGGGTGGCTCTGAATCCAGTCAATTTGACGATGGAGATTGGCCATCACAGTACCCATTCTAGCTGGATTCCTTGCTAAATGGAGAAGGGGAGCCCTGAGCAGCCCGCCCCCATCCTCATAATTTGCTTTCCACATCTCCAGCAGAATACCTAAATAATTTGCAATGAATTTGACTGGCAGGGAAGTTGACATGAGAAAGGGAGGAAGGTAGAGACATATCTGTGGTAACACCGCTGTATTTCTCCTAGGTTCTATGTCCAAGAGGTACCCTCAAGGGAAGTTTATTAGAAGGGCTAACTCTTGTATTGAGCTGCCCAGGAAGGATGCTGTTTGCTCAAGTCGAGAGGTATGAAGTTGTGCATGTCAGCACACACCCCTTAGTGATTCCTTCTACTAACCGTGGCTTCTGGGAGGGTGGGTGTACTTGGAAAAGAAGACAAAGCTGTTAAGAATGGCTGCTGACTGTAACACATACGGCAATGGCAATAAGCTCAGAGAGTCTGCTACCTCCTAGCTGGGTGGCATCGGGACGTCACATAACTACACTCAGTCTCACTGTGTAAAGTGAAAACAAGCTGGGCCGAGTGGTGTACACTTTTAATCCCAACGCTTAGGAGGCAAAGGCCAGTGGATCTCTGTGCAAGGTCAGCCTGGTCTAATATAACAAGTTCCATGACAACCAGGACTAATAAAGAGACTCCTGTCAAAAAAAGAAAGAGAAAGACCAAAATAAATAAATAAATAAAATGAATGAAGACATTGTACCTATCTCATAAGATTGATATGAGGCACCACTAAAGTGTATTTTGTCATAGTCCTCCTCATTGATGTCAGATCCTTTGGGGTATAAGCAACAGAAATCCCCCTACTGGTTCTTGTCATCTTTTTCCACACAACCATTCAATGACAGCCTGGCCTTGGTTCTGGCTGGGTTGATCCTGGATATCATGCTCAGATGGATTGGAGCCTACATCCTGACATCTCTCCATTGGATGAAGAGACTAAGGTTATCCTGACTGGTTTTAGAGTCTGAACTTTAGACCATTTAAACCCAGCCATTATAATAGAAAGTTGTGCTGGGTGTTAAGAATCAATAATATCTACCAGAGTCAACAAGGCCAAGTATATGCTCAATGCATTGGGTTCCCTGTTGGCCATTCTTGTGCATCTCTCTCCCAGAGCTGAGGAGAAGATTTGCAAGTAATAGATGCTCAGAGGGGACCAGGGGCATAATAGATGCTCAGAGGGGACCAGGGGCATAATAGATGCTCAGAGGGGACCAGGGGCATAATAGATGCTCAGAGGGGACCAGGAGCATAATAGATGCTCAGAGGAGACCAGGAGCATAATAGATGCTCAGAGGAGACCAGGAGCATAATAGATGCTCGGAGGGGACCAGGGGCATACTTCCAACAAAAGCCTTTGACCTGTGAGCCAGCTGCTCACGTAGGCCTACCTTACCCGAGTTACCTTTTTATTCTAAAGTGGATAGCCACCTGCGGGCTGAAGAAACTGAAGCTGGAGCTCTCCAGATGCCTCGGGCCCCACTGTGGAAGTCAGAGGTCAGCACGCAGGGCAGCCAAGCACTGCACTCTCTTCCCCAGTGTAGAGATCAATGTAAGTGACGATGTGTGTGTGTTCCTCATCCCCCAGTTCACTACTTTTGGCAACTGCCAGCGGCAGAGAAAAGGTCAGGGGACACTGACATCTGTTCCTCCTGGTACAGCCTCACTCCCTAAAGTAGGACTTCCCTCGGTTGATGGAAAACACAGAATTCTGGTAGAAAAAGAAAAAGCCAAGCCCGCGGGGTCTGAGGTCATACTCTGGAATAGATGCAAGACCCAGAAGCAGATACTAAGCACACAGGCAGTGACTAAAGTAGCCACTCCAAAGCAGTTGGTACCTGTCTTCTTTTGCAGTCACTGTGATCAAAAACCATGACCAAGGCAATTTGTAGAGAGAAGAGTCTACTTGGGGCTTACGGTTTCCGAGGGTTAGAGTCCAGGACCATTGTGGCGGGAAGCATGGCAGCAGACAAGCAGGCATTGGCAGTAGCTGAGGGTTCACACCACAAGCAGGAGGCAGAGAGATAGCTAACTGGGAATGGCATGGGCTTTTGAAACCTCGAAGTCCACCCCAAGGACACACCTTCTCCAACAAGGTCACAACTCTAATCCTTCCCAACGGGGGGGGGGGCAGGATTCAAACATGTGACCCTCTGGGAGCCGTTCTCCCTCACACCATCACAGTGCCCCAACACTGGCCCTGGGTCTGGTAGGATGGCAGGAGGGCCAGGTTCCTTCCCTGCTCTCTGGGTGACAGGTGCTTTTCCCATTATTCTGAGGTTGCAGTAAGTGCATTCAGTACAAAATTAAAATTGGCTTCTTCCCCACTTCGCCCTTTGATACCATGTTATCAGCGCCAGTTGAGGGAACTAAAATAGCCTGAAAAGTATCCACTAAGAGAAAGTGGGGTCATTTCTCATGCTCACCCCTCTCTGTCTGAGGTTATCTTTCCACTTGAAATGTACAGACCTTCTGGCCCTTGGTTAAGGATTTTCTATTTTTTTTTTTTTTTTTTTTTTTTTTTTTTTTTT